GATGAACACAGGCGTTGTGAACTTAGTAGATATTTATATTTATTGCTTTTGTCATTTAATCACTTAATGTTTTTTGACTATGAAACTTGACATGTTCCTTTCAATTACCGGTAATAAACCAGCTTGTTTAAACAAAAATATTTTTTTTTAAATATTCATGTGTGATTTATATCAATGCTTTTCTTTTTGTTTTTCCCTTCTATATGAGGGCCCAAGATCACTTTATTGATCATTCTGGCTCCTGGTTTGAATTCAGAGTTTGCATTCTCTTAGATGAGTTGCCGTCCAAGGCTAACGAGTGTCCCATCCACCTGGGGTGCTTGCGATGCTGGCTTTGGTAAGCATTGAACTCCAGAAGTGAGCTATTTGGTTTGAGTCAGTTTAGACCGCTCGGCGCTCAATTTATTCGGAAGACTTTTTTATGATTTTTTAAATTTTCTGCCAACCTCCACAGAGAGATTTAGTACTGACAAGGTCCAGTAGTTGAATGCAGCTGAGTCATCAGGGTTGTTGGACTTGGCAAACTATTTGTTCAGAGGGCGGCATTGGGGGGGGGGGGGGGGTTTAAGATTTTTAGTTACGGCGAGTGGCAGGGCTAAGGCAACAAGTAGGTGAAGTGTTTATAGAGCCACCTATAAGGTAGAACTAAACTGTACAAAAATTGTGTGTAGGGCGTTCCCAGATGGTGGTCCCGGAGCCTTTCATTGTTGGTCCGCTCAACATCAGGCAATAAACTAGTGAAGTTTCAAAAGTCTCTTTTCAAAACAATTTTTAAAATAAAGCATAAAAATCCCCTGCATTGCATGCATCAAGCCTGGGAAGCTGATGATGCCAACTGTACGAAATTAATGACTACACAAAACAAAGGCCAATCCAATTTAAAATTGTTGGCGTTCCAAGATAATGGCTAAACTGTCAACCCCAAAACTAGTAATGTTTCTGTTTTCAATTGTTTATTTTTTTTAAGTGGTGGGGATGCCAGACAACAGTTGGAACATATCTAAATAAAGCGAAGCAAAAGTTATTTGCGAATTTTTAAAGGCTTCAGAAGCTCCAACAACTTGCTCTTTGGTGCAACCAGATGGTGGACAAACATTAGGAAACATGGAAATTGTGGCCAGGAGTATAATTGAGCCAGTTTGCAAAATTTGTTCAAAGTGGTGAAAACATCAATTCTTTTCACAGTCAGTTCGAGACGTACTGTCGCAAGCTTTCAAACTGGGGGAATTTGAAACAAATACATTTTCATTGGCTTAACTGGTGAGTTTGTCAAAGTAGGACATATTCCTTTCCTAACAAAGCTATCAAAGATAATGGAAATGGTGCTTTTCCTAAAGCAATTTTGAAGGGGAAATTGCCAATTCATCAATCTTTTTTTGAGGGATTGGCTGGCAATTTAACCAATCGAAGCAGGCTTTTTTTTTCTTTTTTTTTGGTATTTGATTATTTTGTTGTGAACATCAAAGTTCCAGAATTTCAGCACTTGCAACATGTTAGGATGGGGAACTGAAAAGAAGCAGAGAATTCTTATCACTTGCTTTCCAGAACATGAATTTGAATAGTCAAAGCATCACATAAGTTCTTACAATTAGGGGGGGGGGGTTGATCAAAGTGAAGCCAAACAGATCTGTTATCTCTTTTAAAGGATAACATTTTGAGTGAAGCTGCTGCAGAACTGAGAAAATTCTGAATGTCATTTTGTTTCTTGGNAATTTGTGACTTTGAGGGGGGGGGGCAAAAATGTGTGCCGTCACTATTTTAAAATTGTATTTATTTTATATTATTTTTATTTTCGTTGTAAATCTAAAATGTTCTAATTTTGAAAAATCTTTATTCGATTAATTTTAAAAACATTAATTTGAGGTGGAAATTGCCTCAAGTACTATAAGGTACCAAATTGTGGCCATTTTACATTCGGCTTGTGGATGACTTCGTTGTTTTGTGTCACAGTTTTCTAGTAATACTACATCTTAATCCATTTTGGGACAATTTTAAAGAATATAATAAAATCTTAGTTTAGTTATGAAAATTTTATGTATGTTTTAGGTGTGACTGACACTAAGGGGGAGGGGTAAAGTATTTGTGATAATTTGTGACAGGGGTGGAGGGGAGTCTTAAAAGGTCATTTTTTGCGTGATGTAATTTGCGAACGACCTTTTGGTGAAGGAGGATTTTGTGTGTGTGTGTGGAAAATCTGACCTCCTTGGAGACCCTCAAAATGGAAATTTCTCGGATTCCTGGAGCTGATTTCTCAGTATGATCTAATTCTGAAAAACGTGATGAAGATTTAACACTCGTAACAAAATGGTTACCAACTTCAAGCCCATTATTTCTCTTATTGATATTGGTTTCAAAGGGAATTTTATCAGACTCTGTGCTTTTCAAGTTCATATGAAGATGGTGTGTGATGGTAAATCTGCCAAACATCTCTCAATCATTTTTGACTTTACACCTGATGTGAGCCACGCTGATCAAACCACCATTGTTATCCAATATGGGTTTGTAGAACCTGAAATTGGAGAGTTTTCCACAGAGGAGAGATTTTTGACATTTGCTGATTGTTCAGCAAAACTAGAACGTATGTGACTGAATAGGTCCTTGAGGCTCTTAAAGTTAAAACATTGAAAATTCCATTTGTGCATTGCCGGGGTCAGTGATATGACAATGGGGCAAACGTGGCTGGATAGTACAAATGGGTTCAAGCAATTCTTCTCAAGCAAAACCTTACTGCCTATCTTTAACTATGTGGATATCACTCATTGAATTTATGCGGCTGGAACGCCGTTCTAGCTGTACAGATGTAGACATTTTTTGGAGTTGTTTAATAAACCATCTACATTATATATTTATCGCAAGTCCACGGCGCTGGGATAAACTAAAGAAACTCCATTGGTGGTGTTTTGCTCCATGGACTTTCAGGTAGGCCTACTCATTGAACTAAAAGACTTGCTAGTGTTTAACATTGCTCCCATCACTTGCTTGGAATAATTGAATCTCTGAAGAAAGTTTTGCATCTGAACCTGTGACTGTGCCTTAAGATACGCACGTATGTAAATGGAGCTATAAAATAAATGACACCCTTAAGCATATTTGTCATGGTGGTAAGGGTTTGGGTGAAAGTACTAACCCCAACTGACGGCTGTGACCAGATTCTTCAAGCCCGGAAAGCTACTATTGACTTTGAAGTGGCCAATCTGGCTTCATTGGTATGTGACCTGAAATCTTTTAAGGATTAGTGATCAAAATCTCTTGAAGAGGTCAAAGTTCAGCTGAATCAGCAAACATCAGTCCTTGAATTGCCATTCTATAGAAAGAACAAAACTATTTTCAATGTTACCAGGTTGAGGACACTCCGTGTGATTCCAATGCATATAACGAACCAGATGAAGAAGTCAGTTTCAGATGGAACGTTTTTACCATTGATTCTGTTATAGCTGGTCTCACAGTTTGCCTCACAGCAGTTCGCCTCACAGCAGTTCAATAGACTGTTCAGCTTCACAGCAGCTCAGCTTCTTGTGAAAGTGCTAACTTTAACATATCTGTAGCTGAAAATCGAAGTTCTTATACTGTCTTTTCTATTAGATATTCAATTCTTCTGATATTTCGGAGACTGATCTGGTGAAAGAAATCTTACAATTAAAACAAACTTATTCTGTCTACTTTGGAGCCAAGTCTCGTAATAAATTCACTCCAATAAATTTGTTGACACAAAAATTCAAAATTTAAAAGCTGTGTGAAATTTTGGTGAAATGTGATAATTGCATGCATTGCGTATTTTTTTTTTTCAATTCCAATAACTGTTGAAACAACAGAGAGGTCATTTACCAAGCTAAAATTGACCCCCCCCCCCCAAAAAAAAAAAAAAAAAAAAAAAAAAAACAAAAAAAAAAAAAAAAAATTTTTAAAAAAAAAAACAAAAAAAAAAAAAAAAAACTAAATATGAGATCAACTATTTTTAAAGAGAAGCAGTCATCTGACCTAATTAAGTATTGAGTCTCTTTTGGTCGAAAATTTAGTTACAAGATTTGACCCAGACAAACAAGACACAATTTTAAGCTAAATAAAAGCATATATTAAGCAACTCCAAAAAAAAACATAGTTTTTGATATCAATTCCTTATAAAATGTAATATTGAGAAATCGGTGCCGGGACCAAGAATTTGACAAAACATAAATACAAGTAACGCACTTTATAAGAATCACAATGAGGGCTCCCCCCCTTCCCAAGGCTCTCAACCGCACATTTTTTCACGCCCCTGAACTATATTAATATTTGAGTGACCCACCCGTTTTTACACCGCATAATTAGTTCACCAACTATTTCAGAAAAGCAAAAGAAAATATTACGCACCAAACGCACTTGCAATATTTTTTTAAAAAGAATTTCATTTAGCACAGCTATCGGGTATTTACCTTCATTTTCCGCTTGAAGTGGACGAACTGAGTGTTGGGGGAGGGGTGTGTATGAAAATTTGATATAATGTTTTGTCATCGACAACAAATCTATTTTCCAATAGCTCGATAGCTTAGCGGGAAACGGGTCAGTTAGCTGTCCGAAGATTTTGCCAGTCAGTCAGCCACAAAAGTGAAGTTAATTTAAAGGGTTTAAAAATAGATACAATTCGAAATGTTTATTTTGGCTCAGCAGTATACCATATCTACGTTCATTTTAATTTTTAATAGTTATGACAATATTAGTGGGCTTCTACTAATTAGCATGTTCTGAGGCCCTGGCCCTAGGGCCTAGACCCTAGCTATTCTCGTAATCATTACATTATTCTCGGCACATTAAAAAAAAACACCAAAAAAAGACATAAATAATTCAAAATAAATCATGATGTTTATAATTTTTATTTAAAAAGTTTACACAATTAGTTTTCGGGCGAATCTTGATTCAGATGTTGAAATATTAATTTATTAATTTTAATTTATCCTTTTTAAAGTATTCAATTTTTTGATTACTTTTTGGCGAAACTAAAATATCACCTAAAACGCGTATGGGGTTGAATGAAATCAGTGTCAGTACTATTTTCCGGTCCAATTTTCCGCACGTGGCTCATTTACTGATGATAGAAGTCGAATCAAAGAAAAGTAAAGATGCTTGTGCTTTTTGAGTCCGCTGCAGGCTATGCCCTATTTAAGGTAAAATAGCCATTAATTCTGAGTTAAACCTTCATAAACTATTACAGAACAAAAGTAAAAGGCTAATGACTAATGTAAAGCACGAAGGCCACAGCGTCATTTGCTTGTTTATTATAGTTGCAGTGAATTATGATTTAGGGTTCAGGTTAGGCATCGGCATAGGGATCGATTTAGGGTTCAGGTTAGGCATCGGCATAGGGATCAATTTAGGGTTCAAGTTAGGCATAGGGATCGATTTAGGGTTCAGGTTAGGCATAGGGATCGATTTAGGGCATTAGTTGCGGCCATCGATAAAATAGTGGCATTCGTCCTTTACTGTACTTTACATTTTACCAAGTAAAACTTAAAAGTTTTGGCTTATATTTAGGAGGGATGCCACGGCACCTTTGTGTGTTTATTATAGTTGCAGTGAATTAGGGTTTAGGTTAGGTTGAGGGATCGAATTGGGTTTCAGGTTACGGTTAGGCATACTGCATGGCATAGGGATCGGGTTACGGTTAGGGTTAGGCATAGGGATCGATTTAGGATTCAGGTTAAGCATAGGGATCGATTTAGGGATACATTCGTGAAATTCGATAAAAATGTGGCATTAGTCCTTAAAATTTACCAAAGTTTCTTTTATTTTAGTTAAACTCATATAAAAATATGGTAAATGAAAATGGTCACTGAAAAATAAGGCTTATTTTAATAAGGTATAATAATAAAAACTTAGACAAGTCCCATCCTCGAACTAAATTCTATACTATAGACTATTATACTATAGATTAGACGGTAAGACTATCATCATGACTTGACGTAGTTAACCTACATTTTGAACATTTTATTACGCTACCATCTTCAGACTAAATCTTCAGAAGTTAATTAAACAGTACTGAAAATTGGCTTACAGAATTTCCTAACACTGTACCTCCTAAAGAAAAAATATCAACTTATTTAATTTTAATAATTTACCACCTTCACATATGAAGTTCACTGCGTAACAACCTTCAGTACTAACAATATAAAACATGTGGGGTGTTGAAGAGGAAGCAGGACGCACCAGAAGCAAAATATATACGAGATAATTTTAAGAAGGCAGTGTCTACACGTCCGCTGACCGGACAAATAGTGCGGGAGATATTCTTCTGGCGGGGAAGTCATGTGACCGCTGGATGACTATGTGTTAATTATTCGGCGGGATAGTCATGTGACAAGAGGTCACCGGCAAAATTAAAGGAAAAAAATTTCTTTATCTTGATTTAAATATCTTATAAAGCTCTACCTCGTTGCCTAAATTTTAAAAATGAACCGAACCAAATAAGACCAATGCTTGTCAGTAGACTGTCAATAGATCTACTGTCAAAAAAGTTTTATTTTAGGCTATAAATATTGCATGAGTGAGAAGTAGGCTAGCCCAACAGCACACCATATTATTATATGATTTAAAGATGTAGGGTCTATTTCTTTGTGAACTTTCGACCTCCCTGCCATAATTATCACCCTCGCTATCATTTTTATCCCTTCTCTCTTGTCCTCAGTATTTCTTCTTTCTAGTATGCATCCCCCTCCCCCCTTTCCCCCCCCCCTCTTTCTTCTTGAAATGAAGTGTATATTCGTCGCATCTCTGATGCCAGTTTTATGATGACTATTAGCGGTCACGGGACAAGGCTGAAGGACAGATATCTGGCGCAATTTTTTTTTACGGCGGTCATGTGACCTGGTTGCCGGACGAATATCTTGAATCATTCATCCAGTTTCCGGACATGTAGACACTTCATTTTAAGAATACATAAGGGTCTATTTCTTTGTGAACTTTCGCCCTCCCTGCCATAATTATCACCCTCGCTATCATTTTTATCCCTTCTCTCTTGTCCTCAGTATTTCTTCTTTCTAGTATGCATCCCCCTCCCCCCTTTCCCCCCCCCCCTCTTTCTTCTTGAAATGAAGTGTATATTCGTCGCATCTCTGATGCCAGTTTTATGATGACTATTAGCGGTCACGGGACAAGGCTGAAGGACAGATATCTGGCCCAATTTTTTTTTACGGCGGTCATGTGACCTGGTTGCCGGACGAATATCTTGAATCATTCATCCAGTTTCCGGACATGTAGACACTTCATTTTAAGAATACATAAAAGTGATCAAAGTAAAAACATGGGCAGAGAATTTCTGAGAGAACTGCTGATCCATGGGAAAATTTATTTTAAAGTAACCAGAAATTTCGTAACTTAAATGACTTTATACATTAATTTAAAAATAAATATACATAAAGCTTAATAGGATTTATACCTCAAATAATAATCATTTCTAGGGCTACCCCTACTACAGAAGCGAGGTCCCACATTAACGTCTTTTTCTTTTTTAATTTAAGTTCATTGGTGCTAGTATAACAGGCTGTAGTATCTTATATATCTATTTATAATCAGTCAGTATGAAAGTCAAAGTACCTTACTAGTGACTATCGATATTAGCTTTTTTAAGCAACGTGAGCTAAAATGTTAAGCCTGAAAATGATGACTTTGTGAAGATAGAATACGAATTCTAGCATAACCGTAAGTAGGCCTAATCTTCTCATGACTATTTCAGTTGTGAAGCATTTAATTTTAATAGTTAACTTTACAAAAATTAAAAAGCTATCCTTTTACCTGGTTATCTTGTACAACTTAAAATTTTATGTTCAGGCCAAATTAAATTATTGCCCTTTTCCACATAAAAATATTCCAGCCCCCTCTGTTCAGCTGTCTTATTATTTGATCCAGCATTTGGAAGTAGTAGTAGGCCTACCTGTTTTATACATCTGTCTAATATAAAAAAGTGGATTTAAAAAGAGTAGTCCCATCATTTTGTTTATTTTTTGTTTAATATATTTTTTTATAATAAAATAACTTTTTTTTTTTTTTTTTTTTTGCAGCTGCTTGATGAATCAAAGTTGCAGAATATTGATAATATTTACAAAGATTTTGAATCTCCAGAAAAGGCAGCAAAAGTGTAAGTCCCAGCAGTTTTGACAAAAATCTTTTAGATTACTTGTATTCCTGACATCTGAAATAATAATTCATAGGCATATAGGTAGGGCCTTTAGCCAAGACCATAGTTGTTAGGCTATAGAATGTCTATAACTATAATATATTAACTCTTATTAGGCTAGGGGAATAATTTGAGGACTTCCCAATGTTCCAAACACTTAAACATTTCTGTAACACTTTAAATTTCTGTGAAGTAACTTATGTTTTACAATAAGACTCTGCAAAGATTATAGGTTTGTCAATTGTCAAAACATTTACAATATGTAATTTATAATATCAATGCTATTGTGTCTGAACACTATGTTTGAATTTGCACATGGGCATGGCTGAAGTTTTCCAGCTCTAGGGTTTAATCTAGTTCTGTTAATATTAATATTGCTGTGCCATATTTTGTAGTCCTAAATATAGCAGACAAAATAGTAAAATTAAAAAGTATAGTGAGATCTAAAGATCGACTAACAATAAAAAAGGATGTTAGGTTCATATTTATTATTTTATAATACTTTTACATAATGAAATATGTAGAGTCAGCAGAATATTCATGTTGTGAGTCTTATAAAAATGTTCTAAAATGAATATTTAATTACCTAAAAAATTCATTCGACTAGCAAGACAGTGTTAAAAATATTCAGTGCCTTTGCCGTTGATTACTTTCAGTTTGAAACTCAAGCATTTTCAAAAGTTTGAGAATATAAATGAGGCTGTTGCAGGTACTTATAAATCAAATTTTAATTTTTATATGAAATCTAGATTCTGTTACATGTTATATTTTATGCATCCGTGTAATACCACAAAAAGCAATTTGTTAGTCATAACAAAATATTTACTGCTTCTAAAATTAAAATTGATCAAAACAAATTTCAAACTTTTGTAAGCATTTAAAACTAGAAATGTAAATTAAATGCCCCATATAAATTTTGGCAGCGTTTGAGAACGGCCCCTTGGAATATTTTTGGAATTCTATTTCAAATCATATTTTTTTGCATTGCAGCTAATTTGACTGTTGAAAATGATAAAGTGAATAAGAATTTAAAAAGCATCCTGAAAAAGCATGTTCTTAAAGATGCAGAAGCCGAGCTGGCTGTTGCAGATGCTAAGCTTGGGAAGCTACTTAAGGTTAGTTGAACATTTAATAGTATTAATTAAACAGTGTAAATTATTAACATTTTGGTTAAGGTTAAAAGCCATCTTCTGCAGATAAAAAGTATATCTTTATACATAACTTTAATGCAGATGAACAGCTTAAAATTAAGTGACTGGTGAATATTACAAACAACTTATCTCTTTGTCTATGCAGAAAAAATTTGAACTTAATTGTGTCACAAATTCAGCCATCCTGGAGTTGATGAGAAACATTCGTTCCCAGCTTGATAGCTTCATATCTCCCACAGTAGCGGCTAGTCATCTGGCTCAGATGTCACTGGGCTTAGCTCATAGGTATTTTCTCATTGTTGTATTTTAACTATTTAATAACAGTTCCTTGCTGTATTAATCTTTTATTTAAAATTGTTAAAAAAAAAAATGTAAAGCCTATTTATCAGGCTTTTACTTACTATCAGACTTAAATAGTTTTGAATATAATTTTCAATGATTTTTATGTTAATTTGTGATTTTAAAAAAACCTGTTAGCTGTTGCCTTTGTAACCTTTTTCAGACCTGTTTACTCTTACAATTTAATGGGGGGGGGGTGGAAATATTAACATACGCCCTAGAGAAAGTTTTTGTCAATCCGACACCAACAAAATATGATGTAAGCATGGGGGAGGGGGGGGGTTCATCTGCAGAAAGTACATACTTCATTAAAAAAAATTCTACAATATTCACCCTGAAAGTCCCAAAAAGCATATTTCTATCTTGAATGCTGTGAGGAACGGTAGGAATTGTAATCAAAATGTTGCCATGTGGTTTCACTAAAAAAACTTCCTTGAAATACTTTGATAGTTTTCAGTGGTAAGGGTATTACAGTAATACTGGCACTGGCATTATCGACTTTTCTGTGCAGCATTAGATTTTGACATAGTTACATGAAAAAGAAATATGTTCAATTCTACAAAAGAAATACTAGAACCATTGCTGGTATATATAATGAACAAAGTGTCAAAAAGTGACAATGTTAAATAAAGCGTGACATGCTCACCCGATGAATATCTCCCACACTATTTCTCAGGTCGCCGGACATGTAGACACTGTCTTGTTTTTATTGAAGCGAACCACGATTTTTACATCATTCTTCAATCATCAATTGATCCAATCGCGATTCATCCTTTTACTAGGCTAAAAAATAATTCAGTTGTGTTGTGAATTTGTTTTTTGTTAACTCTTTTGGTAATTAAATGGATAAATCTATTGAAAGTGGTGGGTACAATGATATTAGTGAACATATTTTAACACCAAAAAACCCAACAAAACTGCAACTAAAAGCAGTAAATCTAAGACATCCTTCCATGTATAATTTCTTTTCTAAGGAACAAGGATGATTCATTTATCAGATCAGAAGTCTTATTTACCACATCTCTTATTGAAGGAAATATTTATCTAGCCAACTCCGATTATTTTGATGCCAGAGTCGAAGATATGTTTCCAGACTTGCAGATTGCTAGAAGATTGTAAAGAAAAATTACAATGAAACAAGCACAGGCCTGAAAGTTGATTGATACTCTTTCTAACTTGCTTGTAACTAAAATCAATTGCAATGCTAACCTTCAGTTGTTCAAAGAGCTGTTGGGCAAATGTAAAAAGGCCACTAGGGAGATGCTAAATGGGTAGTCTGTTCTATATATTATAAACATATCCATTGTTTTTCTCATGTTCTGTGGACTCTTCAAAGACAATGGAGGTTTCTTTATTTACTATAAAAGGCTTGTGGCACTTGTGTATTAGTATGTAGATCTTTAACCATCACCCGCTGCCGCCCCGCGAGCTTACCCCTACAGATTTTTATTTCTTGGCAGGTTGGCAGGTCTGTTGATATCAAAAGCATATACACTTCTACAAAACATAAAGTGACCACAGACTTAAATATAAACGTCATTCATCTACTATTAGAAGATAGCTTTTTTACGCCAGCTTAGCCCTTTTCCCACTAGACACGATGCGAGTAGTTATCGTTTACATTAAATATATTGTATGTTTATTTTAGTATGAAGATACAGTTACTTTACTGTACAATTTTAAGAATTAGTATTTAAACTTTATTCACTGATTTACAATATTATGCTCGGAGGGTCATGATACTTTCATATTCCCTTTTTCTGAAATGAACATTATCTCATATTTAACTATTTCTATTTCAGTTTAGGAAGGTATCGTCTCAAGTTCAGCCCAGACAAGGTTGACACAATGATTGTTCAAGCTGTTTGTAAGTTGTTTTTTTATAGCAATCAAGTTTGATGCTCTATAATTGGTTGTATTTAATTAATTTAGAGTAATGGTGTCTGGATCTTTAGAATTGAAAGTCCCTTGCATTTCATATTTTATTGTAATTTTCAGCGCTCCTGGATGATGTTGACAAAGAATTAAATAACTACATTATGAGGTTAAGAGAATGGTATGGATGGCATTTCCCAGAGCTGACAAAAATTATCACAGATAATTTAGCATATGCTAGAGTTGTTAAAGAGATGGGTTAGTAAATATCTTTCAACAATTTTTTTTAAATTTTAACCATCCGTGTGTGATCTGACTTATGACTTATTAGAGAGGAGTGTCTCTCGTATGAGACCTCCTCTTGGCACTCTGTCTAGGGATATGTTATTTAAGCCGAATAACCACACGGACATAACACCTATCTATATACATATAGTATAGACTGAAACGAAGTCTTAGTTAAAGGTGAAATTAACTACAAATATTTATTACACAATAATATTTACAACTTCCTACGTGAAACACTCGTGGTGCTCAATGTATATACATCAAACGGATTTCATCCAATTATAAAGGTATATTAACACAAAGCAAGTGTCCCTAACATACAGACGGTATCATCATTACTACTGCTATATTGCTCAAGTTATATGCTCGATCTTGGTAAACTTAGCCTTTATGGTTCTGTGGTGGTCTCGGTGGATCACACAGTGTGGGAGTTCCTTCTGTTCTATATGTTTGTTTTATATGTAGTATAGAAGTATATGTTATATATAAATGGTTAAAGTGCAATTTCTTTGAGTTCATTGCAGTTACATTTTAAATATTATCACAGGAGATCGAACCAACGCTAGCAAAATGGATTTATCAGCTGTTCTACCAGAGCATTTAGAAAAGGAGTTAAAATGGGCTGCAGAAATATCAATGGGAACAGAAATATCTACAGAAGATATCTTTAATATTAAAAACTTGTGTGACCAGGTAATGTCATCTAAACTATTCATATAGATCATTTGAGTTCACTTTGTTTCATTAAGTCATGTGATGCATAGAGGATTACATTTTTGGCGTTATTATCCAATTTTTAAACACTCTGTGATTATTCTAAATGAAAAGTAGTGGACCTATTAAAAGATGAGGACACATTCATTTATGAGAGTGTTGGTTGAGTCACTAACTTTTCTTAAAGACCTACCATTTAGAAAAAAAATCAATACTGTATTTTATTTTCATAATACAATAATTATTGTAGGTGACAGAAATGTCCAAAACAAGAGATGAGTTGTACAGTTACCTGAAGGAACGCATGGCAATGGTTGCTCCTAACTTGACAATTTTGGTGGGAGAACTTGTTGGGGCTAGATTAATAGCTCATGCAGGTAACTACATATCCTTGGCTAGGTAGCTTGCTTCCATAAAATGTGCATATTTTTGTAATTGTTTACTGCTACCATGGTGAATATCTGCTAATGATGGAAATTAAAAAGAAATCTGATACAATCTGTGATTATGAAACTTTCGTCACTACCTCTGAAGCAGACTATTTTTTTTGTGCATTACGAATTCTCAGATCAGCACATCAGTCAGAATATTACTAATTAATTGGTATTGTGACATATTTCATATATTTTTATTATTTCATTATTGTGTATGCATTTAAATACTTTTAAAAATGAAAATTGTAGGTGATTCTTTTTTTTATAATCTATAGCTATACTGATTTTGTGAGGAAATGGGCAAACTATTATTTTTACTGTAATTAGCAGATGAAGTAACAATTGGAACGTTCTTCTGTTCCTAAATATTTTGAATCTTATCAATTCCAGTCTACAAAAGGTAGTTTCTGCTGTTAACATGTCGTTCTTTTTTACATTTACACGAACTATAGCATGCTTCCACCCTTATAAGTTGTAATTCAATACATTCATAACTACTGTTAACAAAATTTATGCTTCAACTTTCTAATAACGTCTGACCATTTATGGTACGAGTAATTATCTGCTAGTGATGCAAAACATAATGAAATCTGATCATTCTGTGATTATGAAACATTCGTCACTACCTCTGAAGCAGATTGTTTTTAAGTAAAGTAGTTTTTGAATTTTCAGGCTGTTCTTACCTTTTGAAATATATGGTTAAGTTTTAAATGAATATTGTTCAGGTTCGTTGCTGAATTTGGCAAAGCATCCATCCTCAACAGTTCAGATCCTTGGGGCAGAGAAAGCACTGTTCAGGGCCCTTAAAACCAAACACGACACTCCCAAATATGGTCTAATATACCATGCTTCATTGATTGGAGCCGCCCAACCAAAAAACAAAGGAAAGGTTTGTAATCTTGCTGTATTTGCTTAAGTTCTTGTGCGAACTGAAATTTAAATTTGTGAATTTACTGCATATTTTGTATGTAACTGACATTCACTCTTATATTTTCCTCTCAGCTCTCTAGGATGCTTGCAGCCAAAGCCTCATTGGCTATTCGTTTTGATGCTCTTAGCGAAAACAGTGATAGTACTCTAGGTTTAGAACAGAGGGCCAAACTCGAAAGCAGAGTCAGAAGCTTAGATGAGAAATCTGTAAGTATTAGTCTTCTTGTTCAATTAAGGTGGTCCATGGGTCAAAAAAAAATTTTCTGTTTCTTAAATTACAAATTTTTTTTTAGTACATACTAACTATACACCAATAGAAAGACAAAAAAAACATGGTTTATTTTAAAAAAATTTTTAAAAACTTTTATTACAAAAAATATAAAATGTTATACCAATATTGACAGTTACGCAAAATTTATCAACACCAAAAGTTTTCTCAACATCATAATGAAACTTTGCACACTCGTTAATAATACAGTTGTTAAAAAAATGACACCCAACTTTCTGCATTACAATTATTGGAGCATCTACAAATGACATATGTGGGGTCACATAAATTTTTGGCAAAATATGGGGGGTAACATGTAAAAAAAAAAAATAATTTAAAAAGTTTTGTTGGACAGTTCTAAAAGAAGAAGGTGTTATTATTTAGATAATATCAATGGTAAGAAGCATGGAAAGTTTGAAGACTGTAGCTATAATACTTTGCCTCCTGATACATTTGGCATTCCTAAAAAATCTGAAAAACGTGAAGTTGAGAAAAACGAAAAAGAATTTTAAAAATGTTGTTTTTTTTAAATTAAAAACTACTTGAACAATAAAGGGTGCATATATAAATGAAAAAACAATATAAAAACACAGATATAAAAGATAGAAAATTAATAAAGTCGTGTTTTCAGAACATCAACCCCCGTCCCAAATAAAAACATTCTAATAAACAAAAAATAATTTTAAAATTTCTTCTGGACAGATCTTATAGAAGGAGGTGTTATTAAGCATGGAAAGTTTGAAGCCTGTATCTGTAATACTTTTCTTCCTGATACATTTCGCGTCCATGAAAAATCTGAAAAACGCAAAGTTGTGAAAAACGAAAAATAATTTTTTTTAAAATTAAAGACTACTTGAACAATGTCGGATGTATATACCATGTACATGAACCATTCATAAATTAAAAAAAACAATTAAAAAAACACAGATATAAAACACATAAAATTAATAAAGTCATGTTTTCAAAATAACAACCCCCCCCCCAATACAATTATAATAATAATAAAATAATTTTTAAATCTCTGCTTGACAGATCTAAAAGAAGGAGGTGTTATTATGTAGATAATATCAATTGTAAAAAGCATGGAAAGCTTGAAGCCTGTAGCTATAGTACTTTTCCTCGTGATGTATTTGGCATTCCTGAAAATCTGAAAAACGCAAAGTTGAGAAAAACAAAATATTTTAAAAAAAAATTAAAGACTACTTATTGAACAATATTGGATGCATCTACCATGTACATATACTATTCATAAATGAAAAAACAATATAAAAACACAGATATAAATGATAGAAAATAAATAAAGTCATGTTTTTAAAAGCAACCCCTTGTCGTAAATAACATGATTATATAAAAAATTCTGGAAAAATTGTCTCATGTGAGTGTGAGGTATGTAGATATAACACTTTCCCTCCTGAGTGAGCCAACTCCCATCATAGGACCATCATCAATGTCTACTACCTCTGCAACTTATCCTTGTAGATTGGTAGCGACTGATGCAGGGTGGTAGTGTAGCATTCTGGTCGATTGTCTTTTGGTGAATGTTTGGTACATCCATTATTTGGAAAAACTTCCCCATACCAGCATGCCACAATCCAGTCATTAATGATGCTGTCACAGCTCTTTTGCTGACATAAAAAATTTTGCCTTTGCATACAACTAACGTGTCAGATGATGGGATGACAACGTCACATACATTACATACGACTTTTAAAAATAACGCTAGTCTATAAAGTTATTTTCATCACTGTGAACCTTGAAGTGTACTACTTGCATACTGGGCATGAAAACTTTTGAAAAATATGGCTGGAGGGCATCTATCTGCATGATAGATGAGGCAGAGAAGCCTACAGTAGGATTGATATTCCAAAGCATGAAGTCTGTTCTTCGAAGCAGACGATGCCATAGATTCTTCAGATATTGAAGTTGGCGGTGAGGCTGGTGCCGAAGCTGGCGGTGAGGTTGATGCCGAAGTTGGCGGTGAGGCTGGTGCTGAGGCTTGCGGTGAAATTGGGGCTAGTCTGGCTTTCTCTAGTTACTTGGACTTGGATTACTTGTTCTTGGGGGCAGGGATTTTCTGTATTATGAAGAAAAAAATGTTTTTATTAGCTTATGAAACATAAAATTATATTAGTATTAGACTGAGCAATTAGCTCCTTTTTAGCCTGGCAAAGGTAAATAGAATCATAATTTTTTGTTTTTTAAATCTAAAGAAATGGCAAGATTTCTACTATTATTACATTATTATTATCTGTTTTAATTTTTTTTTTTTTTTAAGTACAAATTAGGAAATCCTAGACTCTAGGCCTATTCAAATTTTGCATTCATTTACATTGATAAATATTACCATCTCATAAATGTTGTCGTTGACAACGAAATACAAATTGAAAATATAACATCAAATTAGCGACGTGTAAGGACACAAACGTAAAGAAAAATAGTAATGAATATATTGAAATATTTTTTGTATTACAATTTTGTATATTTAGGCATAAAGTAGCTTTCAATTTGATTCATAAGCCTACGCTCATTACATTTTTATGTGTGTGCGTATATCACTGTTTCGTAGTAGTATTAGTACTAGTAAGTAGGCCTAGTGATAATGACACTGTATTATTATACTAAACCTAGCTCAACCTTCGCTCGAACGCCTAAAACTAGCTAAAAATATTTAATATAAATTAAATTATACAATAATTAATTTAACTTACCTTTTTAAAGCAAGAAAATAAGTTCGAATTTGAATTTATTTGAAGACTGCAAAAGTAAAGTTGATCGATTGATAAAAGGTTACGCTAACTGGACACAATGAATTTGGGAGACGGCCATTGCATTGTGGGATAGATTTCTGACGTGTTGATGAAGTCTAAAAATAGCTGACCAATGATAATATCCAATTTATTGAAACTTTAAATCTCGACCAATAAGAAAATTTGTTTGAGCGAAAATATAGGGGCTTTGCTGAACAAAGAGCTCCCGCCAGCCTTATTTCTGAACATTTTAGTGGGCGATACCATTACTGAGTAGAGAGGCTAAGCTTTCCATTGATACCAGATATGACTATATTGCGTTGTAATTATATTGTAAAAGCGAAGGGTGCGCCAGGGGGTCTATGGGCCTGAATTTTGCCCCAGAAGTCAAAATTTGCTCTTACCATACTTCTTTAAAATACATTTTAACAACTTTAAATTATTTTTTAATGAAAATGGTAAAAACCAAAATGTTCCTTAGATGTTTATCTAGTAAGATTCACCATAATCTAATTTTTTATAAAAATTATATAAATATAGATATTTTCCCCCGTGGACCACCTAAAAAAAAACCAGAAAGACCCTCTGTTATATTTAAGTACCTAATATTGAAATGCAACCTAGAGCTGGATTACTGAGCTATACTGTTTTGCTACATTAATTTCGGTTTTGCTGGTTGTTTAGAAACATAATTTTTCAAAGATTTTGAACGAATATATATATGTTGTGGTGCGGGTATGTGAATTGCTGTTTTTAGTGTATATCAATTTCAAGGAAAATTTATTTGTGCCTAACTTGGATTTTTTAAAAAAAATTTGTGTAGATCAGTTTAAATTATTTATCTCTGGGTTTTGATAATGCCATTTCCCCTCTGACTAAAACTTTAATTTTAACTTGTTTTTTTTTTAAAAATTTAATACAAAATTTAGGCTAGAAGAATAAGTGGCACTGGTAAATTCCCAATGCAGCAACAGAAATACACAGGAGTCAGGTTAGTTTTACATTGTTTTTTATATATTTAATCCGACATGTTTAAAATTATCCCACATTATTCCTTTTTAAATTCTTAGGTGGGACATGAGCAATGCCATAAAGATTTGAGTTGTTTTAGAGCATGTATATTTCTAATTTTTTTCTTAAAAAAAGAATGCAATCACAACAAAAAAGTCTGTTAGTAAAGTTTCAAAGTTTCCTGAAGTGTTTATCAATACCTAAAGGTGTTGCATGTCTGTAATAAATGTTTGATTTATATCTTATCAATTTTGAGTCAGTAGTACAATCATTGAACAGGTAAACTTAACTTTTTTGATTTTAGTGTAATAAAACAATTGAAGTTCCTTGTGGGGTTACTTTCTATTTTAAAAATGTAAAAAAAAAGCACATTTATTGTATAATTTAAAATTATATTTTTTTCTATTTTGTAACTCTGAGTAGCTTTACTCGAAGTTTTTATTTATTTATGTTCAAATACAATCTTTTTCAGTGATGTAAAAACATTTAACCCAGCACTAGACTCGACTATTCCAAGTTCTTTGAAAAGAAAAGCTGAAGTGGAGGAAGATGTGAAGTCACCTAAAGCAAAGAAGATTAAAATTGAAGTTGTTGAGGAAGCAGAGGTCACAGCTGAATGCGATGCTGAAGCTCACAAAAAGAAGAAAAAGAAGAGGCATTCTGAAGTGACAGATGTGAAGGATGAAACAAAAGGTATTTCATTTTCATCAAATACTGGTAGTCAAATTTTAACATTTACTGTTTGCTCTGGAATAAATTAGATCTAATTTTATAAATGTATAATTAAATTTAAATTGTTTTTTATTATTTTAAAGTGTAAGGATGGGTTTTGTAAATGACTTTCATTCTTTTTATTTTTGTACTGTTTCATTTCAATTATTTTTTAAATAGCTTTAAACTGTAAATTATACAATTACTACAATCCCAGATTTAAAAAAAAATAAGTATTAAATATGTTATCTATATATCAGCATTTAAACATTAGTGTCTACACCATAGAGAAATTGGGAAGGAAAAAAGTCAATTAAAAATATACTATGACAGTCTATTTTGTACTGGTATCTTATCCTAATTAAATTTATTTTATTTTAGATGATGCTGCTCCAAGTAGTCATAAAAAGAAAAAAAAGAAGAAGACAAAAGAGCCAGCTGACTCAGATGATTAATAAATTTTGTTTTTGAAAAATATTAGATTGTTTTTATAATATTTTTTTTCATGTTACCATTTACTTTTAAACACTGAGGAAATAAATCTATTTGATTTGTATGCCATGTCCAACACCTTGTATGGGATTTTATTAATTTTAAAAAACATATTAGTAATATTAGCTTATTAGGCTTGATGTTTTTTAAACCTTTTAATGCTGATGGAGGTGGATGAAATGTTTAAGCATTAGTCTCAAGATTTTAAGTATTAAAACTGCCACTAAGACATAAATTTCTCGGCCGGGGGATGGGGGTTCGTACAATATCAGGATAGTTTAGTGGTCTCGTAATCTAAGGATGGAATGTTTCAACTTAACTTGTTATATGTGCCCTATGCTTTTACCAACAGCATCTTGAGTTCTCATTGTTGACTCATGATCTGTGTTACACTGTGTTCATTCTGAGATGTCTATATTGAAATTAAATAAAATACTATTGCAGTACAGTGTCTTTAATCCATTGTTAAAATTTTCAAAGTGGAACTATAAAATAAGATTGAAATACATACACTTGATCTTAAATGGTGTAGGGTGTAGTACATTTAATAGTAGCAAGAAATACTTGTTTGCAATAGCCACTACCATGTGATGGAGCTTGTTCAACCTTATAATAAATTAAATAAATTAATGTACTCCCAAAGAGTCTTTTTATTTTACATTCTTAAACATTTAACTGATCAGGCTTGTGCTCACTTCCATGGGAATTATTTACGGTATACAATATAAAGAGAATATAAAATTGAAATAGCAAGTTTGTGGTTGTAAAAACTAGTTTTTAATTTCCTCATAAGTATGTCTGGCATCTCATCTTTATACTGAAGTTAAATACCCAGTAATTTTCTGGAAAACAGCAAGAGAATACTTTTTAACTCGTTTTCCCTTAATCCTGTCATGTACCAGAACAGCTCATTATAAAATACAGTGACAGTATAAAAATCAAAGCTTCATACCTGTTATAATAATTTTAAAGATTCTGTGATTAAGTGCTTTATCTTTGACTACTTTTAGTTGAATCGTTATACAACATACTTATTGCTGTATAACACTTAACCAGAAAATTAATTTACTTGAAAAATTCAATACCAGTACCCATTTATTTACATGAAATTGATGTGTAAGATTTAGGTATAAAGGGCTTAGTACTGGGTAGTTAAATTTTAACTGCTTATTTTAGCAGTATGAGACGAAAAGAATCTTTGTTGGAATCTTTTTTGGGACCTGTACATTAACATTGAATTGAAAGTATTAGTACTGGCACACTGTGATGTAAAATGTTCCATTTTTTTTTTGCTCCTTGACATTTTATTATTTTTTGACTAGAATTAGAATGCTTCCTGTTCGATATTCTCAAAAGCTGATGTAAAAATTTTTATCAATCAATTTCCTGCATCACCCAATAGTGAATACCTAATACAGTTACTTAAAGTAAAAATAAAATCAACAAGGTCACCAAAGAATTATTAAAATAGAATTTCAAGCAAGCTTTATTTTATTTTTTAAAGTTTTCATATAACTACTGGCTGTATCACACTGTCACACCTTGTCATTTTAATATTTTAAAGCTCTGAGTATTCCACATGTGACATTAGTCTTTACACAAAATAAACTGACAAGACTTCTTGGACTCATAATTGAACTTGTGGCTTTTTGATACAGTACAGGTAACCTTAGGTAAGGACTACAACATTGTAATTTAAAATACAGTTCAGTGTAGGTAAAATTAATGTACTGGTGGTAAATTATTATAAAATACCAATACCAGATAATTGTAACATGAAAACATTTATTACAGTAGGGTTCCAAACTTAATCTTTTTGATAGTCTTACAACTTAGTTATTTACTGACTGTACCGGTACTGTTACTAGTGTTACCCTATAACTTATTACAGTACCGGTAACTATGATGAGTTGTTCCACTAAATCTTTCAGTTTCGGAATTAAAACAAAACATCAATTTGTAAAATGAGTTAATGTTACAATCAGAGAACACAAAGTTGCCACTTAACACATCAATCATACAGTAAAATTAAAATGTTCAGGAAATTTAAAAAATAACTGTTATTGTTAATTAATCATTAATGGGTAAGTAAACCAGAATAAATTAAAAGTCAATGTCTCCTCTGCTCTAATTTTTTGTAAAAACCCCCTGGCTGCAATCAAGCCTTGCCTGTGTTTAGTTTACTGAGACATCAACAATTATCAAGGGGTGATATTATGTCTTATGACAATACTCTATGTAAATATAATTTTGAGCTGACCTCTTCCTACACAAATCACTTATGTGTTCAGTTCACAGGAAATATGTCATATAAAAAAAAATCATTTTTTTAAAAAGGAAAACAAAAAAGTACTGCATTAAAATTAAATTATGCCTAAACATACACAAATCATCTGGACAATTTTGAATGTAATAAAATAGTAAGACTAAGACATAAAATAATTGTAAAGATTTCAAAAAGTACAAATTCAATGAAAACTAAGAGTGTAGGCCTACTAATAATAGCACAGTAGTAGTAGTAGTATTAAGTATGCATGTAACTGGTAAGAGGCATGGGTAGGGATTTTTTTTATAAATGATGTAAAAAATTACACCCCCCCCCCACAAAAAAACCCCCCCCCCCCCCCCAAAAAAATAATAAATAAATAAAAGACTAGCCATCCCAATTAGCTGAATTCGCTATAAAATAGTTGTTCTTTGACGTGAATTCTATTGATATTTTTAAAACTAATGAAGATTTGAAAAAAAAAACATTTTTCATGCAGGTGATCTTAAAAATCAAAAACCCCCATAATTTAAATAAAAAAATGATACAGGTAGATGCAGTTCTTGATTTAGTTCCATTCCTGGAGATAGTTCATTATACTTGCACTTATACCCGCTGATTAAATGGTTTTGTTAATGCATGCAGCCCATTAAACATGCACTTATACTTATTGCATATGGTACGATATTTAATGACATTCTTTACTATGCCAAGTTTATTTGTGAAAACTCAGTATTAAGATATTGAGCATGTATGTGAACAGACTTACTTAATATTAACTTATATTAACTATAAATAGAATTGAGGAAATACAAAGGAAACAAGATACACCATTACAATTACAATAGTAAATTTTAATTAAAAGCGTACAGTTATATATATATATATATAATTCATTTAATTTGGATGATCTTTTTAGCCATTGTTAGTGTAAGTAAATCAAGAACTGCCAGAGTATTTAATTTGCTTCATTGAATTTGAATATCAAGGTTCAGCTCATTAATTAGCTGGAACTAAAATAAAATTAGCATAATACGAAAATAAGGTAAGCATTGTTTAAATTTAAATATTTTATCTTGAATTTTTGTACCTAGCAGTCTGAAAACTTGCTGCAAAGTATGATTTTTGAAAAGCTAAAATGTGGGGTGGATGGTCACACTGTGTGCTGTTACTTGAATGAATTCACCATAGGCTTGAGGAGCATGAAAATATAATTTTAAATTATTGAATACCATAATTCGTGCAGCCAAAGTAAGGCACAATATTTCAAAAATAAACCAGCTTATTTATATCTTATAGCAGGGGTGGGCAAACTATGGTCAGCGGGCCGTATATGGCTCGGCAACTGATATTATGCAGCCCTCCAACTCTAAGGTATTTAGAAATTTTAAAAAATTACTTTTTAAGTTATTTTGTTGAATTTTACAGAATTTCATGTACCCTTATGATTGTTTTAACATTTTTGATAAACTTTCTAATTTTCTATTTTTTAATGACTTTTGTCATGTAATGCTAAAATGTGAATTTACTGATTTTAATATAAATGTTTATTGACACACAAAAATTGGACATAATATACATGCGGCCCCCCCAATAGCTTTACATTTGTCAATCTGGCCCTCCGCACAAAAAGTTTGCCTACTCTTGTCTTATAGAATGATTCCCTGCTAGTGACATTATGTTTATTTTAATCATAGGTCATATTGTATAATATTGATAATTAGGAAATTAAATTTTATTTTACATGAACCCATAACAATAGTATTCTGGATAGTGATTAATAATAATATTCTTCACCTCAGTAAATCAATAATAATTAATATTTTGCATGAATACTGGTATTCGACATCTCCTTATACACAAATAATAATATTAATCTTTAAAAAATAAATATTTTTATTTCTTTAATGGGTTTTCCAATATATATTTTGTTCAATTTTTTTTTTAACATAAAACTTATGATAATTTTTTAGGTTTTGCTTGCTTGCAAGGAAGATACATGAAAAAAATATATGGAACGGCAATGCATATTGGTTTAAAATAGATTCATACGGTAATGCTGCAGAGGAGATTACAAGTTTCTATAGTCTCATGATATATCACAACCTGATTTTTGCCTCAAATTTTGTCCATTCCATCTTTCCATTTTGTGCTTTAGAAAAGTCTTAACTATTACCATCTACAAATGGATACATACCAGTAAGTTCATGAACAAAATGGCAAGACTTTCTGAAGTATATTCATTAAAATTTAAGACAATAGAATGGTTTTACGAAATCTTAAACTTAAAATAATCACAAAATTGCCAGAGTATTTGCTCTAAATTAATATATTTTGATCATACCGGGGTAAAAAAAATAATATGCCAATGGTGATAACCATATAATAATGTACAAATAAATATCTCACTTATCATTCCAGCATCCAATATTACAGTACAACCTCTGAATATTTCTTGTAATGGTACATGTTTAACTTATGGCATTTAGAAAAGACATTTACTTAGTCAATTGGTTTTCTCAAATTACTAACAATTTTATTCTAGATTCAGGGTACCGGTACTTCATTACAGAGAAACATCACATAGATTTTTAAAATAATAATGCAGTTTCATAGTAATTTTGAGTGATTAGTAGGTTGCGTCTTTTGTAATAAAATGAAGCATACAAATAGAGAAGATTTAAAATATTGAAAAGATACTATCCAGATATACACCATCCCACCCCCTCCCCCCCCACCCCCCTTTAAATTGTAAGAGTCTTGGATCCTACCTCCGGCAACAAAGGGAAATCTCTAAAGCTTTTTACTGTGCTCTGTTACTTGTCATACTTCCTTTTGTCATGTTTGCTGATGAAGGCTCTAAGTCTAAGCCGAACGTCCAAATTTTTTTTACTGTCTATTAATTCAAGTTTAGCATACCTTGTTCTTATATTTCAATATTCTTGCAGACTTTTTTCTCTTGTTTTCTCAATCAATATCAGTAAGGTATCCCCCATACAGTCTAGGTATCGCCATGCCCATGCAGTCAACAATGTTATTAAAAAAATTTTTTGCAACAAGGCCTTTTCCAATTGAAAGCTGGGGTTATGACCTTAAATATAATCCTCAATGTACGTTACAAAATGTAATAACATTCGTTTTACTGCATTAAAAAAGCAAAAAAAAATTTTGATTATCATTTCAACAAATCATTATATACCAACGGGTAAACAAACATGTGATATTTATCAACTATACACTTTACTGTTATATAAATTTGCAAAGAAGTCATGAACCTAATTAAAGGTTCCTGCTTAAAATAGAGACACAAGTCCTGTGCCAGGAGAAGAAATGAACCATATAACCATTATTTAAATAATGTGAACTACCAAATAATTAATTTTAGAAAACAAAAAGTCTTTAGAAAACAAAAATGCTTCAATTGTAAGAAATTATTTACCAATTGGAAAAGCTTGAATTGAATCATAGGTATACTTATTATAATTATGTTTATGACAAAACAATTTAAATTTCTGAAAACACTGGGATGGCCTACCCTAACCTACCTCACGCCTAATTAAAATTTGAATATTTATTACTACAATGCGTTGCACTAATTAGTTTATATTATTGCTATTAATTTTTTTTTAAAAATCTATTTAAATGACATACAGCAAACTGCATGCCTAATTAAAATTAAACCTTTTGGCGCATTGTGCTAACCATGGTCTATTTTATGAAACAATTTTCTCTGTTTAAATTTGTTTACAAAACATATACGCCCAATATTACTGCTATAACAAATTGTTTTTTGCAGAAAATAAATCAGTTTAAGAAAATAATCTCAAAATTAAATGGTCTAAATAATTTGCATTCAGCACTTTTATAAGTTTATACTTGAAATAAATGCAGAAGCAATTAAAAAAAAAGGAATTAATTTATACAAGTTAAATAATCTAATTATTGTGAATAAAATCTTATTTCCCTGCATATTGACCTGAATGGAATGAACCACCAAAATAAATGCATTAGTGTAAATTGATAGCAATTTTTTGTATAAAAAAAGGGAAGAGCATGATAGTGGGAGACTCGCTTTTGTCCATACAATCTTGTTATTCACAGTATCCATGGTTTATTGTAATTGATATTGATGAAAAGGATGAAACTTTTGAGTAATATCACAGGCTTGAGACTTCAAAGGTGTGCTGGGATGATCATGGGTAATAATACTTTAAAAACCTGAGGAAAAAGAAAAAAAAAAAATTAATTAAATATATAAATAAGGCTGTCACTTTTACGAATGGACATCCTTGTCAACACAATTTTAAAAAAAAAGAACCTTATTAACAGCCATCATAATAAAAACCCTCCTAGTAATTAGGCACGGAGGTAAAAAAAAAAGTGTTCATTTCTAAACTTTTCCTGTCCATCATAGCCCTAAGAATTAATGACAGTGCTGTCGAACATTTCTTTAAATAAAAAAATAATAAAGCAATGAGATATAACCATTTTTTAAATCGACCTACATGTGGTATACAAAGCAACAGGGACATGATAAATAAATGATAATGAATCCAGTTGTGACCCAAAACATAGGTTATGTTGTTTTCAAAATGTCAATTTGAGACTTTTTACAACTGCTGGATCTAACAAACAAAGACTCCTAATACTAATACAAGCCCAGGGGTTTGATGCATAGATAAACTGAAGATTATTTTATAGTTGTGGAGTGAAACAGGATGAGCTGGACCTAAATGAGGCCCGCACGGACACTGCTGAAGTAGGGTTTAACAAATATGACCCTATCTGGAGGCTTTCGGAGCATTTGCCCCAGATACCACCACTAGACAATGCCTAAAAGGGAAAAAGAAAGAGAGGAAGGCCTAAGAATACATGGAGACGTGAGCTAGAGGCAGACATGTAAAATATGGGATACACCTGGAAGCAATTGGAAAGGAAAGCATAGGGCCGTGATGAGTGGGAAATTCTTGTAGACGGCCTATGCCCCAGACGGGGTAAAAAGGCATAAGTAAGTAAGTAATTATGACCCTAACAATAGCTAAGTTATGGTTTAAACTCCTTTGCATCTTTTATTTATGGAATAAAAACTGAACAAATCTAAAATAAAACAGACAATGCAATTAAATACAAAAATTACCCCCCTCCCCCCTCTCCCTTTATAAAAATAAAGTTACAAATTTATAATGAGACTTATCTGTGAAATAATGTTTACTGAGGTCATGTACTTCGCATACAATGGAGTAACAAACAATAAATGTAAAAAAAAAACTGTGCAGATATGTTCCAAAGGCAGGGCCACTTACCACCAAATTGAAACATCCTTAGAATGATCTGTCATGTAAATATCCATACTGGCCGGTGGCTTTCCAATGTCCACTAAAACTCTAGTATAGAGAGGCTTCTCATTGACCTCACGAAGTGTGTAGTTCATTCCCACTGGATCATTTAATCCATCTTTAGGCCACCTTGTCCTCCAGCCTAAGAACATTTCATTTCTGAAAGCAAGATAGTATAAAAGATTGCATTTCATGGTTAACTACTTAGTTTCAAATTCAAAGGTAAGAATGTATGAGAAGGTATCAACTAATGCACAGGTTCCCAAACTGCATTGTGGGGCCCTGGAGAGCAATAAAGGAAAAAAAATTGATAAAAAATTGCAATTTCACTTGTTAAATATTGGATTAAGGCGCTTTGAGAAAACCTGGCTACTTTTGACAAATGTTTAAGTTTTACCATCAAGAAAAACAATACGTTAACAGGGAAGGGAATCCCAGTTTTTTTAATCTCCAATTTTAAAACAAAATTATGGGTTTATCCCAGCTATTTTTGCGAAGGCAATTATTAATACCAGACAATTTTAGCTGCTTGCTATGTTCATACCTCAGAGGTTAAGGATTTTTTTACACAGGGTTAAAATCCACCCAAAAAGTGGCTGACTTACTGGCCTAACAGACCCCATTCTACCCTCTTATTTTTACATTAGCTGGGGAAAGCCCCAAACTAATTTGAACCCGCTACTAGTGGGTCAAGAGACAGACACCATAATCATTGCGCATGTGATGACCAACTTTAAATTGGAAGCAAAATTTATTCATGAATTTTTTAAGAGCAAATCTTTTAATTTTTTTTTAGTGCAAGTTTATCATATTAATATCAATTAAAATAATATATAATTTCAACAGACCCATGTTCAGATCGGGTTTCTTTTGTGTGTCTAACCATCTTATATCTTCCAATATGTGTTGGTGGCCTGGTCAACAAGAGACCTGATTCTTGAATTCTGGTTTCAAAGGAGAAAATATTTTTTTAACTATGCATTGAATAGCTATTTTAAATATTCACAACATTACTGCACAGAATTTAAAAGGGGATTCTAAAATTTGTAATAATAGGGTCTATGCTGTCCTTTCTCTTCCATTTTTGGTAAAACTCTAAATACAGGACAGTGGGGGTAAAAATTTATAACTTAGAGTAATGGTGCTATAAAACATTCCCATCACTGCTTTTGACAGACTGTTTGGTGGATACAAATATTATTACTTTACATGACATAAGATTTGCGAGTAACCAGAGGAAACAAATTTTTTATGGCTAAGGCCACACTGTACTATAACATCGGGGACAGAAAGACTATATAAATAAAACTGACTATGCTTAAAGTGTGCAGGATGATGATGATTTAGTACATTCGACAAAGCTAAACCGCGGCCGTGTTGGATAGAATTCTTGCAAAGAAAAAGCAAAGCCAGTTTTTAATTTTGTTATATCTTTTAGTTAGTTAATATGAAAAAATAATGGTTTGGAGTATGTAGAGCCAGTTTAAAGTGTCCAGGATGCAATGTTACATTTGAGCTAGTAGTGTGCAAGTCTGAAATGAAGTTAAATTATATTTTCACTAGCAACAAATATATGAATGAAATAGTTACCTGGCTGAAAAGTCATCATCTTCATTACCCCAACCCCAATAAGAGTTTGAGTAGCCATTTATTTTCCTAAAGTTGTGTTTGTTCATGGCGATAACTCCCCCGGCATAATTGTAGTACATTACGCTAGAAAAACAAAATGGCAATAAATTATTGACGGAAAGTGTAAGATTGCACAATTTTAAAGAGGGTTATATGCATCGTTAAAAATCATTTACAAACTTTAAGAACCTTAATTAACAGACTTCAAAATTTTATTTTCTAACAGCTTTTAATCACATTACACTACAAAAAAAAAATCACAAAAAAACATAACAATCTTACATTCAATCGCAACTTAAGACAAAGGGTTTGAAATAGGTTACTAATAACAAATAAAAAAAATTTATGCTAGTAAAACTAGAATTTCTTTAGGTAAGTTTATATTTACATGAAACAAACATGACTCGATAAAAAACAAATCTTTTGCTAAAAATGTATTAATTACACTATGATACCACAGTATGAACTTCAAAATGTGTGCAGTCAAAATAAATGTTTTCATTTCAATTTTAGCTGTGAGTTTAACCTCTAGTGAGTCAATAAATTAAATTCAGTTTTTAAATGGGATGTCATGGTTATCCACCCTATGAGGAGGACCCTTGATAAAATTGCTATTACAAGTATTCCGTGGACTAAAACAAACCACAACATGTGATTGCAAAGGAAAATATTCGTAGACACTTACTGGCTATGAATTGATTTCAACTGATAACAGGAATATGTTGTCCTGTCTTATTTTAATGATAAAACTAATACAAAATATTGAAGTCTATTCAATTATTGCCTTACTGGTATCTCATTTCATAAATGGCTGCTGCCAAATGCCGAGCATATTCATCACACAAGTACAACTTACTGGTATCTCATTTCGTCAATGGCTGCTGCCAAATGCCGAGCATAGTCATCACACAGGTACAAGTTCCTGTCATCCTCAGGCAGTAGATCCACGTCTTGGAATATCATGCAGTCGAACTCTCCTAGCCGTAGAGCTTCCTTGTATCCCACATTCATTAGTTTCCCCCTGTTAAATTTGTCTTTGTCAGCCTAGAATTGCAAATGTTATGTCTTAGGGTTGTGCTTTATATTTGTATTAAGATATATGCTTTTTGTGGGCATTTTCTAAATGGTATATTGTTTATTAATATGTTAAGTTATTATTTTGTTGTTCTGTGACAAGCTCTTAATTTTTGGGATAGCATTAATAGACAAATGAATTTTTGTGCAAGTTCATTCCATTGAATCTCTGTTTATTAACAAGAGTTCCGTACCCACTTGTGAATAAGATGAACCAAAAAATGTTTGAAAATTTCAGTTCACTATAAATAAATTTGTAAAGTTAAATGAACCAATATTTACAATAGTGAATCAGTCAGAGTGAGTATTTATTTGATTAAAATGATAGCTTTTCAAATATGATGAATATTCTATTTCATTTTACAGCTACAACCTACATTTAATAAAAAAAATAATAAATCACTAAGTTAGGTATTGAGTGTTTAATTGTATATTTTTATCATTCTCTTTTAATGGTCTGTGGATAAGAATAAAATTCTGTGTATGAATCAAAAATGTTAAGTCTCATATTTTATTGTATTATATTTTCAGTACTTATTTTCACTCTATACCAAAAAAATACTTCGGTTTCACTCATTTTGCACCAATTCGTTCATCATTAAAACAAGATATCACTAATAATGGTAAAAGCTCAAGTATAAGTTAAATATTTGTAATTAAACAAGTTTTATTGTATTTTATGGTTTATTTAAACTAAAAAAACCTATTTGGTTCTTGATAATTTTAATTTAATTATATTCACAACAGAAAACCATTTTAAAAAATGGTACAGACATCACTATTATTTAAGACTGTTGAAATTACTAGGTTAAAATTTGCATTATTACAAACCTGTTCAACAACAAATATCTTGTAGTGAATCTTCTGTGTCTGTAACATGGGATGTAAACGCCGCAGCAATATATGTAGATGATGGAGTCTATCACGATAAGGTATGACGATGGCTACACGTTGCCACGACCGACAGTCAGTGGGCTTCCAGGTGCCTCCCGTTTTCACATTAGGATTATCTGCCATAATACTTTCTTCTGTGGGTTCACCAAAAATATCAACATCAGCATCTCCTGTTTAAAAAAAAACATGTTGAGGGAAAAGATATTAAACTTCTGTGTTATGCATCAATTACAGTATAGAACAAAAAATGTCTTTCTGTATTAAAATCACTGATAATTTTAATTATTTTTTAAAAACAGATCTTAATCCTCTTCAGTACTGAATATATCAAATATATATTTTTTTTATATAAAAGGGTTTTCTTGCTCAGTTTCCAACTTTTGTTTTCATGGAAACCGAATAAGTTGTGATCAATCTCTCTCTTTCATGTTATTTAACCTGATACTGATTAGAGTGATTAATTATCTAATCTGGGAGACAGTTCATACTGCCTAATATTACTATTAAATTTAATTTTTTCATTTCTCTTTTAATATGGATGACTTTGTACCGCGCTTCGAGCCTTTGGGGATAAAGCATGATTTTCAAATAAGCTTTATTATTATTATTATTAAATTCCCATTCTGAGCCTAAGAAAATTATTTGACTAAAAAATTGATAAATAGCATAAAGCTTTATTCTGAGTTTTAAAGGTAATTTCAATTGTTAAAGAGAAAAAAAATACTATATCCTTTCCACAAATATAGATAGCTCAACAAAACAACTTATATATTACTCCACACATTCAAAAACTATTTACATGTCAAGCCATGGACGGCTACCCAGCAGCATCGTTTATTAGTAAGAGGGGGGAATCAGTCAGCATTGGTAGAGTTCAAAGAGATGTGTTTTGAGTGCATCTTTGAAGGTTGTGATGGTTGGTATATCGCGAATGTGTAGTGGAAGAGAATTCGATTGTTTAGGGGCACAGAATGAGAAAGATTGTTCACCGTATGTTTTTGTGAGAGTCTTGGGGACAGAAAGAATGTGCGTGTCTGCGAAGGAACGATGCTGTCAAAGGGGTGAATAGACAGAGAGAAGTTCGGTTAGATAGGAAGGGAATGAATTTGAGAAAAAGTTGTGGCAGAGAACAGAGAGTTTGTAGTCAATTCGTGCTTGTACAGGGAGCCAATGAAGTAATTGAAGAAGTGGTGTGATGTGATCACGGTTTTTTTGCCTTTAGAATTAGCCTTGCAGCTGAGCTTTGAACCTTTTGCAATTTTTCAATGAAGTGTTTTGGTGAACCTGACAGAAGAGAGTTACAATAGTTACAAGATGAGAGAGAGAACAAGAGCACGGCTTAGGGTTTATTTAGACTGTTCAAAATTTATATAATTACTGTATCCAACGGAACATCATGAGTGGTATCTGTCCATCATGGATAATTTAACAAACCTTAATCCATCAATAGTGTTGGTTAAGTGACATTCCTAGTTAATCAAATAATTTTTTGAAAGTAAATATTTCAAAGAATTGACTTACCCAAGTTATCAAAGTCCAGTGTACACCTGTCAGCAAGTGAATGATCCAGCTTTGACATTTCTATAAGTGTGTTTGGCATTGTTTCTATACAGTGACTTCGATAGTTGAACAAAGCAAATCCAACCAAAGAAAAGTACAATAGAATAAAAACTTGCTTTGCGTAGCGCTGGAGCCTGGCAACTCTGGACTTTGACAGGAATCTTAATCTCATTTTTTAAAAACTTAAATTGCACGTTAATTTATGTAGAAACATTCTTGTTTCTCAAAGTAAAATGGTAATCACTATTCTATCTTTTCTTGCTGGAAATGCCATCTTAAGATGAACATGTATTCATCATCATGGGTTTATCTCAATACCTGTACAAAATAGAATTATAATTGATTAACTGACTGTAGTGTGAAAATAAATGTGGGTCTTTATAAAAATGTGTAGCTTCCTGAATACAATGTCCAGTGAAGACATATAAAAGTCTAATAAATCTACTTATGCTAATGTGAAAAATATTCACTGGTGAATGAAATATTACAAGTAAGTGTAAAATCAAAGCAAACAGATGATAATGCCTTTAGAATTTGAAGTCTTGGTCGTCTTTGTTTTATATTCTAAAGTAAAGAAATCTTTTAAATGAAATTAATTACAAACAAAAGTATGTTTCTGGTTGTTGCCAGTACGTTATATATGTACCGAAAAAATGTATATGGAGGCAAATACAACCTATACAGTGACGTAACGAGGGTTAGTCATCATGGCGGGTCAAGATGTTTGTTGCCCACAGCCATGAAAAAGACCTCTGCAGCTTGCCAAAAATGGCTCCTCTCAATATATAAAATTACAATTATAATTTTCTGAAAGTTTTCAAAATACAAAAACCTATTGATATACAGTTAGGTACTTTGATTAGAAAATTAAAACTTTTTGTAAAAATAAACCAATGGCAGTTGAATAAAGCTAATTTTTTAAAGAATTATAACACCAAAATCATATTTTTAGCTGTTGTAGTTTTAAAGTTATGAATTTTTAAAGTACAACTTAATTTGTCCTTTTTTAACATGGACAGCATCTCCATTTTTCTGGTACCCAATTCTGCTGTTCGCGTCACGAGCTATATAACTCTTGTTTTAATGATAATTTTATTTTCAGAACTAAAGCTATATTAAAAAAATAAGTTTAATAATGTTAACAATTATAGATAAATTGTTGCTTATCTAACTATGCACTATTTATATCAGTAAATTTACCAAATCTTCAGCGTCCATTATACCGGTAAATGCTATATAGTCTATATAAGGCAACGCTACCCCTAAAATGTTGTTTGGTATCTACCGGTACTTATTTTGAACTTTCAACTTTGGCACATGACTAATTAACTAAAGATTTCCCTGACCAATGGTGTTAAGAGTTTTTGCACACGGCAAACTCTTATGAATGAAACTTGAGATAGTCGGTAGTACTACGGCATAGCATTATGCAAATGGCTGTGGTTTCCTATAACTTTTTGCACACGGTCAATTCTGATCGCTAATAATATGGACTCTACCGGGTCTTTAAAGCTCAAATTAAAAATTTTTAGTTTAAATTGTTTCAAAATGCATTCTGAAACACAAGTTATTAAATATTTTGATGTATATAGAGATAATAATGAATATTTCCTAAGCTAAGTATTGGCGTTTTCCGCCATTTAAAAGGGGGCAGGATCATCAATCCAAAATGGCCTGTGCGACATTTGCATAATGAAGTCAACGTTGAGGAAAATTGTGAAAATGTTTCATGAGCTATCGCAATGAAATTTTACACACATGTACTTCAACAAATTATGCAGGCCTACTTTTAATATGAAAGACCTACTTTGAATATTTAGACCGAATTTTTTAATGCGAAGATGTCTTATATTGACAAATTATTTTCCTCAGTTATAGTTGAGATAAAGAACAAATTAACTCAATGGGAATGTAGTTCAACATTTCTCCTAAAGTTAATGGGCGGAGTCAAACCTTAATTATGGGCCAAAAGGCTCCTAATTTATTCAAATTACATGCACATGAAAAAATTGAAACCTCGGATCCTACTGCGCCGATACCCATTTCCAATACAAATTTAATAGGAGTGTCCCTTGCTTCGCCGAAGTATCTACTGTAATACACTTTATAGGTACTCAATATTCAGTACCGGTCTAAATAAATAAAAATAACAAAATTAGTATCACTATCAGTACCTATCAAATCAATCATTAGACTTAGATTTGAGTATCATTTTTCAATCATAATCATTCACTTGTTGACCACATGTGATGATGACTAATCCTAATGACCCTAAAGCCCTTATACCCTCATCATAATCTTGTTGTAGTCATGTAGGAGCACCAAGACCAAGCCAAGGCCCAAGGTCTCCTGCATTTGCATTCGGTACATCGACTACGTCTACAAACATGAGTAGGCCTACATTACTACTTCAATACATACATTGGCTCATACATTATATTACTACTTCAATACATACTTTATAATACATAATTCGGTACTGAAAATACTAAATAAAAATATTTAACTAGTGAGGAAACATTGGATAACTTGTATTCTTCGAGAATTTGTTAGTTTTGATCAATATGACTAACCCGGAAGTGGTATTTATTTATCGCAGCAGTATACTTAAACAACCTGACGGCTACGTTTACCGCAGTGGTAGACGTACCAATAGCATCAAATTTGAATTCTCGGGCTTTTATGATATTTTACTTCAATTTATTATATTTATTTGTTTTACTTTTGATCCTAAAGTATTTTAACAGTAGATTATTATTTTTAATTGTTTTAAATGTAATGAAATTTGTCAAACAGACGAATATGCTCATTTATTATTATTGTATATTCCAAATTGAAAAGAAAAAAAAAAGCGCCATGAGTTTTTATTTTCACGAAGCCTGAGTTTAGATACCCTCTTCAATAAAAAAAATAAATGTTAACACACACAGTTTGGTTATTTGGCACCCTCTGAATTCGGTGCATAGGGTGGGTGCCCTCTCACTCAACCCACCCGACCCCTTTCACATGGCTTGGTTTTGGTCTATTGATAATCAGACCAATGTGGTTTAGGCAAAATCTTCTATTTCAGGGATATTTGATGGAATTAGTTCGCAAACCAGAATTTGTAGCTTCTGTTGCTTGATTTCAGAATCACTATGGTGTCAAAACTCACTACGGTGTCCTAACTCATGACGGTTTACTAACTCACCACCACCATTTACATCATCAAAATCTGTGTCTAATTTATGACACACTGAGTCATTAAGGATGTGTCATATGCGAGGAAGGTGATAGGGCTATTATTTTTGACTCGATTAAAATATATTATCGAACTTTATTTGCTGCGTACCATTTTGTGCAGTAAAATCAAGGATCACCCCAGGGTGGCACAGTATGCAGAAAAAACACATATTGTGATATCTTGAGTTAAGCACTTATGTTGCATCCCATAGAAAGCCCTGATATTAACATTTGTACCACAATCCGATATTAACGCAAATGTTAGAACGTTTCATTACACGGTGCATGGTAGTTCAGGCCCCTGTGGTTAAGGTCATTAATGTTTTGTTTTTTTAATTGCTATCTGCACCTGCTTGCACATACAACTTGGCAACATCTTTATTGGCAGGCAAAAAAAAAAAAAAAAAAAAAAAAAAAAAAAAAAAAAAAAAAAAAAAAAAAAAAAAAAAAAAAAAAAAAAAAAATGTTTTGTTTTTTTAATTGCTATCTGCACCTGCTTGAACAAAAAACTTGGCAACATCTTTATTGGCAGGAAAAAAAAAAAAAAAAAAAAAAAGCCTTTCCCTGCGTTCTCGCATTGTAAAATGAGTAAAACAGAGTATGGTTAAACCTGAAAAATGTTTGTTTCGAATAATGACATCCTATTTAGCCGTGTTTGGAATAATGGGACATCCTGTTTAGCCGTCAAATTAAAGATACCCACAACTAGTTTAAGTTTAAGTAAAACAATATAGATATGCTTTATTTAATTGGACAAGTACAATATATAGACATGACAACTAGCCTACATAAAAAAAGAAGAGTAGTCTATATTTTGACGCACTAAAGTGTACGTTACTTTAAAAAAAAAAAGATAAATAATATTAAAACTTATTAATATGAAAAACGTATGTTGTAGATAAATACGTATTGATGCCAGTAATGAAAATATGATAGTTTTAACACATATTTTAATTTAATAATCGCTCGGAAAAAGCATGTTTTTAATAAAACATTGAAACTAACATGGGATTCTTAATGCACTATTGTAGTTCTGTAGATAGTCGGTTAAATTATTCCAACTTTTTATAACATTCTTTTTCACTTGAGTGTTTTAGATATAGGTTTTATTTACCAGTAAAAAGAGCATCTAAGTTTTAAGATCTTTATTTAAAAAAAAAAAAAAAAAGGTTTCATGTAGCTCAAACCCTTATCAAGTGAGCCCTTTTAAAAAATGGCCCGAACCGCTGATATCGCTATCTTGTGTCAATCAGACATTGATATGAAGACACGTGCAGTGTAAGCTATTAATAAATTCGGGACAGGCTTCAGAAGGCTGTGTCTGTTCGGCTAGTTGAGTGAGTCACACGTCATAGCTTTTAAAGGCGACGTAATGGTGGTTAATTATTATTTTTTCATTCTTTTGGTATCTTTTTGGTAATATATTTTTTTTTTCAGTGATCGGGCGTTTCCTAATTATTAAGTAAATAACTATAAAAACCCTTTCGTTCGCATATATTATATACGGTACCGGTATGTTTAAAAAAAATAATTCAGTATCGGTATCGAAAGTAGAGCATCTCGAACGGGTGTCTGCGTATGCGGTCAGGTGCATAGCTCCTGCTTCTGTTTCTAACATAATAGTAAAGAGGAGGTTGTGTTGGGCAGGTTTTTTTTGTTGTTGAAATTTTTATCTAGACGGAGGAAAAACAATTATACTAGATAAGCATTATTTTCAGTAATCGTAAGTAATCCTAAAAAGAAAAAAATGAGGGGGGTTTGGGGGGGGGGGAGTTTGTACAAGGTTTGAGACGTAGCAATGCTGAGATAGATTTAATGTGAAGAGTTAAATCAGAGGGATTAACGTATGTATACCACATCCTATATTGTCCTAATAGTGTGGAATCAAAGTGCCGAGCCCCAAATTCAGTGCACCACAGTGCACAGATAAATCTTGCACCCCCAGTGCACAGATAACTCTTGCACCACAGTGCACATATAACGCTTGCACCACAGTGCACAGTTAACTCTTGCACCACAGTGCACAGATAACTCTTGCATTACAGTGCACAGATAACTCTTGCACCCCCAGTGCACAGATAACTCTTGCACCACAGTGCACAGATAACTCTTGCATTACAGTGCACAGATAACTCTTGCACCCCCAGTGCACAGATAACTCTTGCACCCCCAGTGCACAGATAACTCTTGCACCACAGTGCACAGATTTAAAGTGAGAACGCTCAATATTTGTCGCTTTCTCAAACAATCCTGGGCTGTGCAATATTATACAATGCACGTGTCATAAAAATGAAGGGGGGGGGGCCTTTCAACAAAGTGTGAAAGAGAAGTTTACCATCCTCGGAATCTCTATGATGTGAGCTACCTGTGATACAGTCAATGAGAACGCTTTAGCCCCTACATCCATCGATTCTTTCTGTTCTAGACTTATACTAAAAATTGATTTTTTATGTAAAGTGTATTGTGTGCTAATGAAGTTATTTCTATTATTTCATGGATGTTTAGTTTGTCTTTTCACCAATCCAATTACCCTTTCATTTTGAGAAGACATCGGCGTGCCCAGCCTGCACCCAAAGATACAAGTTTATCCCATGACAAGCCATATTTATCATTGCATTATTACAGGGCTTGAAATATATCACGACCACTTTTAGTACCCTATTTCACGACCATTTTTAGCACCCATTCATTGATATTAAATCTAGGCTTGAAATATATCACGACCGCTTTTAGTACCCTATTTCACGACCAATTGTAGCACCCATTCATTGATATTAAATCTAGGCTTGAAGTATATCACGACAAATTGTAGCACCTATTCATTGAAATATATCACGACCAATTATAGAACCCATTCATTGAAATATATCAAGACCAACTGTAGCATCCATTCATTGATATTAAATCTAGGCTTGAAATATATAAATGTATCATGACAGGAGGTGAGGCGTAAAACAGTGTCTTATAACCGGAGGTGAGGCGTGGAACAATGTCCTATGACAGGAGGTGAGGCGTGGAACAGTGGCTTATAACCGGAGGTGAGGCGTGGAACAATGTCCTATGACAGGAGGTGAGGCGTGGAACAGTGTCTTATGACAGGAGGTGAGGCATGGAACAGTGTCTTATGACAGGAGGTGAGGCATGGAACAGTGTCTTATGATAGGAGGTGAGGCATGGAACAGTGTCTTATGACAGGAGGTGAGGCGTGGAACAGTGTCTTATGACAGGAGGTGAGGCATGGAACAGTGTCTTATGACAGGATGTGAGGCGTGGAACAGTGTCTTATGACAGGAGGTGAGGCATGGAACAGTGTCTTATGATAGGAGGTGAGGCGTGGAACAGTGTCTGACTGGTTTGTACAATTCATTTCCCAAAATGTCAAACAGGGGAGATAAGCCAGTCAAACAGGGAGATTTAAAAGATTTGGGAAAATGGTACAGGTCACAGGTCTTTATTTTTGTGGTATTTTTTTATGCCACTAGGTAGGAGCTACAAACTAAATGTTCAATGATCAACTCCAGCTAATGATGTCATCCATGACTCACTCCAGAAAATTATGTCATCTATGACCCACTCCAGCAAATGGTGTCATCCATGACCCACTGCAGCAAATGATGTCATCCATGACCCCCTCCAGCAAATGTCATCCATGACCCACTCCAGCAATTGATGTCATCCATGACCCACTCCAGCTTATTATGTCATCTGTGACCCACTCCAGCAAATTATGTCATCCATACATTGTTGTAAATTATTTTCTTAATTTTTCAGGGAACTTTTTGTCCCCCTCCACATTTTTTTCCCCAAAATAAAAATAAAAATTTTGGGCCCAATTTGTTCTATTGTTTGCAGAATTAAATGTTTTGTAAACTGTGGATGGATCAATGGCCTATTGTAAGGAAATATTAATGCAACAAAATTAAAGTTAAAAAATCATGTTCAAATCTGATTTTTGTTTTTAATGGATAAACAAATATCTACAACACTTAAAACAATTATTATTTTCTCAATCAACAAAACAAAATGTTTAAATAAATAATAAACCCGGAAACGCAAAAAATGAATTCATGTATCACAATTTATTTATTCATATATATAATTATTTATTCATATATATAGTTTCAAATGACATGTCAGTGTAAAATATCTTAAAATATGTACATAATGGAAAAATAAAACAGAGAGCTAAATGTGCTAGGAGGGGACTCAGAGCAAAGTGGAGGACAAGTTGTGAGACTACTGAGCAGCATCGTAAGACATATGACACTGGAACCACTGGGACGTATGACACTGGAACCACTAAGACTTATGACACTGGAACCACCGAGACTATGAAACTGGAACCTCTGAACAATGTATCTATAATTCAATCTTATTTTTCAAAAAATTTAATCAACATTATTATTTTCTTTTGTTGACGAAGTTTGTTAAAAGACAACTGGAATAGATAGGAATCCTGAATAAAGGGCCATGCTAAGGAAGGAGCGAATGGGGCAACTGCCCCAGGGACCAAAATCCACAATATATACTTATATATATAGATATATACATGTGGATGTCATTTATTAATGAAATGAGGGACAACATATTTAGGCTGTGCCTCTGGTGCAACTTTTCCTTTGCAAGGCCCTGAATGAATTTCCATGGTTGTACAAGGCTTTAGTAGCTGTAAGGGGAGATAGTGTTGGCAGATGGACAACCCTTTTCTTTCTTTTCAAAGGTGTGAGTTCTTTTTTTTTTACAGCCACCAATGAGTAAAAATAAATCTTTTGATAGTCAGTCCTAACTGGGCTTATTTGTAATATCTAGAGACAGGGGATGTCACTATGATAAAAAATTGGTTTGGTTTAAAAATTCTCTTTATCTCATAAAACAAAAAAACAACAACAAAAAACATGGATAGACTATTACAAGAAATATACATCTATAATTTCTTTTGGTTACTTATTGAAATATAAACCAAAAAAAATTGGATGGAATCTTGTCACCATGGTGATCTTAAAATGAAATCTAAACCATTGATGACACAGACCACAGATAGGAATGACATATGAAAAGTGGTTGTAACCAAATGAATACAATGTTTTGCAGCTGCTGGTAGTTGAATGTTGCTATTTAAAAAAAAATCATAGTAATTTAGACACACAAAAAAAAAAAGGAAAAAAAAAAAGGATGATGTGAAAAAATGTTAAAATTCAAGTTTTAAAAAAACGAAAATTATTAAATACTTTAAAAATATATTTAAAAAAAAAAAAAATGTTTTTGAAATAAGATTTAAGGTTAATCTAAGTTTTAAAGATCTGTAGTGAATAAAAAAAAAAAAAAAAAAAAAGAAAAGCATAAGAACTAGCAAGGACGGTTCAAATGAATTACAGGACTCACTTTTCTTTTACATTAAAAAAAAAATTATTTTCAAGTATTGTAATTTAATGGCTCAGCTACTTGAGGTATCCAGATGTCAATCCAGAATTGTATTTCAAAGTCAGCCATTAAAGTCCTTTTAAGGGGGGAAAAAACAACTCATTTTTTAAAACTGAAACTTTGCTTCATTAATTTAATCAAGATAAAATAGTTGTAGCAAAAATGAATCTTTTAATTCATCAATTTGAACCATATATATATATTTAAATATATCACTCAGGGAGTACTCATTGTAGATAACCCCTAGAGTAGTTGCCAACACCTAAGACTTGCATAATGAAATAAAATTATATACAATAATAAATACTGTCATTTTCACACAACCACCTCTTCAAAGTTACTAACACAGTCATTGACTTGATTTTTAAAAAAAAGAGATAATGATAGTTTTATTCCTAAAAAAAAATTAAGGTTATATATTCAAAATGAGCAATCCAGTACCGTACTATAGTATAAGGCAATGCGGCATGGCACAGGGCACGAGAAGTTGAAGTAGCACAGCCAACCACAATGATCGCTGCTCTGCCTAGGTTTCTACCAGTGGAAAATTTGGAGTTGGGGATTTCATCACTCCACAGAAATGAATTTTGCTTTGTTTTGGAATAACATGACTCTGGATTTGCTGACTCCATGTTTGTGTTTTGAATGACAAAATTTTGACTCTACTTTGGAAACCAGAGAGCAGACAGAGCTACGCAATCTCATTTATTTCTTGCACATGAGATAGAGCTACACATATCATTTGTTTCTCACACATGGCAGCCTGCCAATGTACAAAGGCTTCAATTCAATATTTCTTGGACGGATTAACACTGCATGAAGACGATAAATTATTTTAGTTCATATGGCGTTAAATGTTTTTAACAATGGCTGTTATGGAATGCACTGCAAGTTAATAGATCAATGTTGTTTTTTTTTTTTAAGCTTATGTTAAAATTGAAAAAACAATTACAGAAGAAAGTAGAAATTAATCTTGCTTCTTTACCAAGAAAGTTCATTGAGATACATCATCAAATTATTAGTAGTTCACTTTGAGCCTTAATTCAATGAGCTGAATCTTAATATGCTGTGCTGTGTTTAAACAGGGCTTTACTGCACACATACACACTCATTATTAAGTGGCGGCTAAGATTGTAACCTATCTTACAATTAGAAAAATATATGGGCCCAGCATTAAAAATTGTAAAAATAATTTTATAATTAATTTTTTTCTTTTGAACCGTTTGACCAACATTTGGCACCCATCATGAAATGATGCTTCAAACGAGTGTTAAAATAACAATAATAATGCAGTGGGCGTTTATGAAATGGCCTCGTAATAAACCCACAACAAATTTCTTTGATGGAAATAAAAAAAGGGTTGCTCATTCTGATTTGATTCTACTCAAGCCGCCCTGTTTCACACTCAAGGATTTCATGTTCATTCTGCACTTAGTGCAACAATTCATAACTGAACTTACATAAGTAATAGTATTGTTTGTATGTTAAGTCTTTTTTTTTTTTTTGTGTGCATTTTTGTGTGAATTCTGTCAAGATGTGCAGTGATCCAGAAAGAACACGTTTATTTGTGATAAATCCGTCATCCCATCCATTGTAAAATCTTAAGTGGGGAGACTGTGGTTTTCAGAATGTAAGTGAAGTTAATCAAAAAGTACATATTTGATTGATTCATGCAACCCCCCCCCCCCAAAAAAAAAACAACAGTTCAATGTCCTTATATCAATAAGAGAAAAGATCACCAAGCCCTGTGTTTAAATGCACCTTATTCCCTTTTTTTAAAATTAAAATTATTGGAGAAGTAAATAAATAAATGAATATTTTTTTAGAAAGAGCACATAATTATCTTTTTGGCAACTAAACTACATATCCTCAAATGCAATTCTAAAAAAAAAATAATGTGTTTGGTGATGTTTCCGATACATTATTGGAGAAATCCAATGAAGCCTACAAGTGCGAGCGTCACTAAAGTACTGTCTTCTTTTAAAACAAGAAAAAAACTATTGACTGTTATATCTGTTGTTCAAGTCATCAGCAAACAAACCACCAGCCCCCCCCCCCCCCCCCCCCCCCCCCCCCACCCACCTGCCCAGAATCAGTTACACCACTGTGGAGTCTTGGCTTGTAGTAGAAATCTTAGAACCTCTCAGTCCACAACTTTGATGGAAGTCGCTGAGCTCAGTGCCGACTGCCCGGCCAGTGGCTTGAAGTTGGCCGAGCCGCTGAATGAACTCGGCTGAGATTTGGAGAGGAAACTTGGGCCAGCTCCTTGTTTCTTTAGGGCATCGTCTTTGGAAGTTTGCTTGGGATAGCGCATGGCTGTAGCTTTGCCAACTGTTTGCTGTGGAAGTATAGAAAATGTTAGAACTATTGTACTCGCTGTTTATTTCATAATTTACTTCTGCAGCCTTGCTAGCCATTTGCTGTGGAAGTATGGGATTATATGGAGTAAGTTGTTTATTTCACTTTAAACTAACGGTGCCTTGCTTGAAATATGTGAACCAGGAACACTGGCTATTTTTCGCTACTTTGGTTTTATTGTAGGCAAGAAAAAAAAGTCAATTTTCAGAGAAATATTTCATTTCTCTGTAACTTAAAAAATAAATCTCTGAAGATAATCTAATAGAGATGAAAACAATAGCTCTGGATAAACTTTTAGGAAATCTTAATAAGGGTCACAAAAGTTTATTCTACTTTAAAAGCAAACTGCTCTTCAAGGCTGCCTGTCACACAAGTAAATGTCCCCAATGGAACAAAAGTCTTAGGAATCAATCCGTTATGGAATACAGCAAATTTATTTATTTAACTAAATTTTACAACTGCATTAGTTTTCAGTTGACTGGCATAAAGACCCCATGTAAAAAAAAAACATCTTTACAAAAGGTTTGAACTAGGAGCAGTGAGCTGGAGCTCTGGAGCTGGCTCTTTTAATCCAGAGGTGGAGAGGATCTGGTAAATTTCTTACTGCTCCAAGCTCTAAAAATTTGAATAATTTTAAAACATGTTTGCATAACACTTAAATAAATTTATTAAGATTGATTCCCCAATCTTCTACAACTGTTTTTCCCCACTCTTCTACAACTGTGTTGCCCCACTCTTCTATAACTGTGTTGCCCCGTTCTTCTACAACTGTGTTGCCCCACTCTTCTACAGCCATGTTCCCCACACTCTCCTAACAGCGGCCCCCCCCCCCTCTTCTACCCACAATGCTGCCCCACTATTCTACCAGCTATGTTACTGGCACATGCATTTCTTATGCCCAATTAATAAGATGGGTGACAATAATAAACTAATTTCTTAAACACTTAGCGCCCCCTCCCCCCTTGATCCCTTGAATGCATTACATTCTGTAGGTCACTGCATCTATTTAACTTCACACTAATGTTGATAATAATTTAAACATGTGGCAAAAAAAAGAGAGCCACATGATTAATTTGGTCACAGAGGACAGATTACAGATAAATTTACAAAAGGGAAGATAAGACTTAACACAGGTTATCTGTAGATTAATCAGTGCAGGCCCCATATTTGATAAAATTATCTTTTTAATTTTGTGGGAGTGGAGCTGATGCAATAAAACCTGGTCCTGGTGGAGCTCAGCAAAAACAAACCTGTACCGGCTCTCTGTTATGCATAAGCCAAGCTAAGAATTTTTTTAATGAAGACAGTTGATACCATGCACACAGCGCAGCATTCTTAGCTCTATAGGTTACCTTGGTGATTGGGTTATGACGCTCCACAACAATTGAGGCCATGGGAGGGGCTAGAGATATGCCTTGGCCAGGAAGACCTGAACTTTTCCCTGTCTGGCGTGAGACAGGAGCTGTCAGTGGTCTCCCTTTTGATCCGGCTGAGCTCTTAGTCTGATGGAAGTCAAGAAAAAAAAGAAAAAGACAAACCCTTAATGATTACATGAAAATGAAATACAATTATTGATTACACAAAATAATTAAATGTTGATGAAAAAAACAAGCCACAAAAACATGGAGAAATATGCATGAAGTATTTGTATGCTCAACTAAAATTTATCTACTAGGTAAAAATTAAAGAGCTGTGAGGGAAAGAATCCCACAGAGAGGCTGTATGTCAGACATCAGTGCTTTGAGGATCCATGAACGCTATGGGGGGTCCATCAATGGCATGGGGACTAATCAATCTTATGGGGACCCATCAATTCTAAGGGGAATAATCAATCTTATGGGGACCCATCAATTCTATGGGCACTAATCAATCTTATGGGGACCCATCAATTCTATGGGCACTAATCAATCTTATGGGGACCCATCAATTCTATGGGCACTAATCAATCTTATGGGGACCCATCAATTCTATGGGCACTAATCAATCTTATGGGGACTAATCAATCTTAAGGGGACCCATCAATTCTATGGGGACTAATCAATCTTATGGGGACCCATCAATTCTATGGGGACAAATCAATCTTATAGGGACCCATCAATTCTATGGGCACTAATCAATCTTGTGGGGACCCATCAATTCTATGGGGACAAATCAATCTTATAGGGACCCATCAATTCTATGGGCACTAATCAATCTTATGGGGACCCATCAATTTTGTGGGGACAAATCAATCTTATAGGGACCCATCAATTCTATGGGCACTAATCAGTCTTATGGGGCCCCATCAATTCTATGTGGGACTTATCAATTCTATGTGGGACCCATCAATTCTATGTGGGACCCATCAATTCTATGGGGACTAATCAATTCTATGGGGACCCATCAATTCTATGGGGACTAATAAATCTTATGGGGACCAATCAATTCTATGGGGGCTAATCAATCATATGGGGACCCATTAATTCTATGGGGACCCATCAATTTTATGGGGACCTAATCACATCTATGGGGACCCATCAATTCTATGGGGAAAAATCAATCTTATAGGGACCCATCAATTCTATGGGGACTAATCAATCTTATGGGGACCCATCAATTCTATGGGGACAAATCAATCTTATAGGGACCCATCAATTCTATGGGGACTAATCAATTTATGGGGACCCATCAATTCTATGGGGACCCATCAATTCTATGGGGACCCATCAATTCTATGGGGACTAATCAATCTTATGGGGACCAATCAATTCTATGGGGACTAATCAATCTTATGGGGACCCATCAATTCTATGGGGACTAATCAATTCTATGGATACCCATCAATTCTATGGGGACTAATCAATCTTATGGGGACCCATCAATTCTATGGGGACTAATCAATCATATGGGGAACCATCAATTCTATGGGGACTAATCAGTCTTATGGGGACCCATCATGTCTATGGGGACTAATCAGTCCTATGGGGATCCATCAATGTTATGGGGTCCCATCAATGCTGCGGGGACCCATTAATGCTTGGGGATGTTGGGTCCCATCAATGCTTTGCAATCTTACCTTCTGTGCATATCCACTACTGAATGTTGGCATAGAATGAACTTGAGCTACAGTGGCATACAAATCAGACGGAGGCATTGTGGTGACATCAGCTGGGAGAGACTTAGGGGCCTGGACTTCCTTGGCTGGCTGCTGGGACTCCAAGTTGTTGTTGAGACTAATGTTGTTGAAGCTGGTGTCGGATGAGCCGCCAAATCCTTGAGAAAAAATAATTAATAACAGATACATTAAATTATCAGTTGTATCTTATGATGCCTTATTTAACTCTTTACATTCCTTGAATTTTTCATTATTTTCTGAAGATTTCTAGTGATGCCTCAAAAGAGTCTATATCATAAAGAGTTTTAGTCTAAAGTTCATGATGTTATATATCAAATTGTAGGGAAATGCATGATGCTTTTAGTAATTAATGTTTCTTAAAATTTGAGTTCATTACTTTGAAGTTGTGATTAAAAAAAATAATAATTTTTTTTTTAAATTAAAATTTTTTTTTTTTATTATTAGATACAAAGAAGGAAAAAAAAGGTATCAAGAATTTTTTCAAAGAATGATTTATTCAGAAAGGAAAATCATTTTTGTATGCAATAGAAAGAATTCAAACATTTTTAATGGCATATTATGAAAATATGAAAGATTTTGTAAAATGTATTAACAAGGGGAAATAATTTTTAAAAAATCAATACACCACCCCTTCACAACTTGTTAATAAGAATAATTTTATTTTACAAGTTTATAAATATTTATACCAAAGAAAATATACATGTGGTCAATTTAAACGTTATGATACTCTACAAGACAGTTTCTTGTCTTATTAAAACAAAGGTAAGTTTCACAGGTGCTGCATTTGATTGTGGACTTTTTTTGCATCCCCAATTTATAACAAAGCTTACAATTTCTTTATAAATTTGTGCACTCAGGGACAATAGGATGCACTGCCTGGTATTTTGAGGTGCAAACATGTGTGGCACTTGGAACTTCATCAGTTTTTTGTAATCCACCCAATGTTCTAATAAGTTCCTCAGTGAAATCAATTTTTAGGTAGCGGTTAGGCCGCTTTAGTTCCTCAATGCCAGGATTTTCTTTTCTCCACTCCTGAAAAAGAATATAACTGTTCACCCTGGCAATGTCGACAAAATGGAAGAAAAGGGTTTTCCAGTACTTTTTTGTTTTCCTTAGTGTGTTATATTTATTTATTAACTAGTCACTTTTATCTACACCACACATGAATGCATTTTATGATTTTAAAATGTTAGGTTGTCTCACTAATAATTGTCTGAAAACACCATCAACTCTGGTTCTCCTGTTTACAAAGGAAAATCCATTAGCTGTCATATAATTGGAAACAAGAGAGACTGTCTTATTGCCTCTCCATTGAACAGTTAAAACTTCATCCTCTCTAATCCACCTCATATCTCCTCTCTTTGACCTTTTTTCATAAGTTTTAATGTCTTTTAGTTCATTAGGAAAACCCTTCCTATTTTTCAAAATGGTACCACACGCAAGTATTCCTAGTAATAACAGATCTTTGAGTAATTTATACTCACTGTAGAAATTATAAAAAAAAAACACTTGGTAGCCTTGGTTTTTAACAGATTTGATAAGGTTCATTACTACATCATAGGCCAAGCCATTATTTGATGATTGGGTTTGCTTCCCTAAATACACATCAAAATCATAGGTGTAGCCTGTTATTGCCTCTGCTATGACCCAAACTTTCATACCCCATTTCGTTGGCTTGTCCCTTATGTATTGTCTGAATGTGTATCTCCCTTTGTTTTTTACCATGCGTTCATCTATCGATAGCTGTTGGTGAGGCTGGTAAAGCTTCTGACATTTTCTTCGTATAAAATCAGAAAGCAATCTAACTTTGCATAGTTTGTCCTCCTTATTCTCTGTTTCAATGTTTGAAACTTTGAGAAATGTCATTATTTGAATAAATCTTTTTCTGATCAAGAAGGCTCTGGCCCAAAGTCCATGGTACAAAGTTGACGTAGACCAGTATTTTTGAACACTGGGGACCTGTACAATTGACATGTACACAAGAAGTCCTAGAAATTTGTAAAATTCCTCTGCTGACACATCATACCAACTACTGTAGATTGAAGGCTTAGTAGGCCCCATGGTTGAGGCATAGTTGTTGGTGTACTTCACAAATGTTTCCACTAAATCCAAAGTAAAAAACAATTTGAAAAAGTCTTGAGGGTCTAGAAATTGCCTCACTGTGTCCCTTGTTGACATTTCTTCCCTTAGATGTAAGCCTGGCTTTCTGGCTGGGAGAAACTTGGGAATTGGAACCGGTGGGCCATCGTCGTGAACATCATATGAGTTTACCCTGTAAATATAAAAGAACAGATATTCTAGACCTATATGCTACTTTTAGGATTGAAATGAATTAAAAAAATATGTACTTCAATTTAATTTCAAGTTTGTGTACTTTCAATTCTGTCTGAAAACCATTATGACTATATTGTCAGTACATTAAAATTAAAAAAAAAAACACATTGATGTCAAATTTCTTGTCCTGTATGATAACATATATTATAAAAAGCAGTGCCGACTGCATTGTTTACATTCCTTAGCAACAGTTTCTAAGAATAACGTCTTCTAGAAAAATAAATGTAATAAAATATTCACATGTTAAAAATTTTTTTTTGCGTAGATTCATTTAAAAATGGCTAGTAAATATTACAATATGCTTAAAAATACAATTTAAACCGATTAAAAAAAAATAATAGTAAGAAATCTAAAAAAAAAATTGAATGACAAAGCACTCGATTACTAACCTTCTAAAATCGGCTGCAGAGGAAGATTATCATCAAAATCTGAATCAGAATCACTATATTCGGGTTCCCAACTATCTTCGCCAGAAGATTCAGATAAAATTTGATCAACATTTTCATCAGTATTATTCATTATTTAAGATTTTGGGCTCCCGAGTCAAAAAGCGTCTTGCACAAATTTTCACAAAATGGCGAGTAACGCTTCGGCATGTCACGTGAACCTTGAACTCGCAAAAAAACAAGAAAATAATTCAAAACCTTTAACTTTAATTTTTTTTTTACATTTTTCATCCAATTTTATTATCAAATAACTATAGAATACTTTTAAAAAAAAAAGACATAATTTTATGAGCGAAAAAAACCTGCGTAAGAAGTTGTAAGAGGAATGAAAAGAGTTAAACTTATCCAAATAAAATTCATGATCATCAATGTAATGGTTTTCTTACCACAGACAATTTCTCTATTCTTATTATAAATGTATATATATATAATTAATATATAAATTTATAATTTCCTATCTTAATCAGTGTTTAAGATGACAAATCCTATCACATAATTATTAAAAGGTTTTAGTTAAGACACATCAACATTTATGTACCGGTATTAACACAAAAAAATATCACTAATTTTAAACATCTATAAATTTATTAAATATTGAAGTATTTCATGATACTTTATGTACAAAATTAAGAAACACTGTACTAATAAAATTGAATAACTGAATGATCATCCTGATCCAGGAGGCATTCGGGCATGTGGCCCTTTGCTCTGAACACTTGAATAAATCTGCACAACTACCTGATCGGGGTGTCTCCTCAGCTCCGAACGCTGACATGGCCTCCATGTTCAGAGCACACACCCCTCTCATAAAAGCTTTCTTCACCTGCTGTCCGTACTGTTCTCTGTCACACTGAAGCACCCTTATTTTTTCCTCCAGGGTGGCAATATGACTGTTGAGCTGAAGAGATGGGGAACCAATGCATTGGTCTCATACTGAACACAAGCAGAGAATGAGTTATGGTTTAAAATTGTAACAATTAAGTTACTGCTGCCATTGATTTCCAATTTGTTTTACAATTTTATCTTAACTAAAAGTGCCTTAAATTAAAATAAAAAATGTTAAAATTAAAACCAATGGCCTTAACAAAATCACATCCCATTACAAGGTCCACTCACGTGGTCAGGCTAGTAGACAAATTTGTCAGAAGACAGAAGTGGACTTACGCTAATGGAAGTCTGATCACGCGTTTATAAAACATTAAAATTAAACATGTTGAATGATTTAACCCGCCTTAAAATAGCCGAGCTTAACATTACACCAGTGCTATAAATGACTAGGGTAGCAAACAAAACATCTACGACGAGCCCGTTACATGATGGGGACCTACACATCTTATCTTCCCCTCGTAATCTGCGCTGAGCTCCGTGCACACACTTTGAGCCTTCATGTCACAGAGCCTCTCAATTCTCTGCTTCCATCTCTGCTGTACCAAGCTAAACCAAGATTTCAGCACCTTCTGGAGCAACTGGCGGTCACGGTAATTTGTAGCCAGTTTTTCTGTAAATTTCTGAGGGAGACATGAATTTAGGAGAGATGTTTTAAAATGATACTGTAAAGTGAAATCTCATACAAATATGTTGATATTTGTGAAGTTCTTATTTTAATAGAACCTGTAAAATGTCCACTTAAAACAATTCCACTTTCAAAATTTTATTTCTTTCTTTGAAAATTACAAAATATTATTTTACACCAGTTACCCATTCACACATTTATAAATCTACACATTTTCCTGATTCATGATTAAAGATTCATGCATGAGTTTTGGCAAGCTTCCTTGAAAGATGCATTTTCATAATTCTAATTTTTCTAACTTGGGTTCTTCTTAAAAGAGTTTTTTTATACTCTCAGTCCAGTGTTCCCCAAAACTTTTTCACCGCACACCCCTCCTGATCACCTAAAAAGATTTAATGTTTTAATGTTGCTCAAGTCCTGTCCAACTTCGCCTTCAGCCCCACTTTTGAAATATTAATAGATTTTCTAAAGAGACTCAATGACCTCCCATAATCATCATGTCCCCCCCCCCCACCCCTCCCACTCACACAAGGAAACATTGCCTCAGCCTTTACAAAGTAGTTCACCTTATCAGATTTTTAAAATTTAAAAAAAATTTTTTTTCAATTAAATGAATATCAATTTTAATGTTGCTCAAGTCCTGTCCAACTTCGCCTTCAGCCCCACTTTTGAAATATTAATAGATTTTCTAAAGAGACTCAATGACCCCCCATAATCATCATGTCCCCCCCCCCCCACCCCTCCCACTCACACAAGGAAACATTGCCTCAGCCTTTACAAAGTAGTTCACCTTATCAGATTTTTAAAATTTAAAAAAAATTTTTTTTCAATTAAATGAATATCACAGATATTTCAGATAAATTACCTCCCTCTTCCCAGAGGTAGCCTTCGCCAAGCAGGTGTAGAAAGCCTGGGCTTTGGCCACTTTCTCTTTCTCTCGACACAAAGCCTGAGTCAAGTTTTCAATCAGCGTGTCCTTTCTGCACATGCTCTTCTCACAGGTGTTAACCATCTCCGTCAGCTTGTTTATTTCCCTTTGCAGATATTCCTTCTCTGCCATTAGCCTGATAAACAGTAGGTAAGAAATGAGCTTGAAGAAGCTTTCAAAATGGGTCAAATTTTTTTTTTTAACATTGATTGTTTGACATTATTCAATTTTCAATTAAAATGTTCAACAAGAGCTATTGATTTGTCTCAATGTCATTCTTGTTTCATTGAAAATAAGGAAAACTAAATAAAAAATAGTTTCCCCTTCTTATAAAACAGTCCCAATTTCATCTTTAAAGCAACACTTCAAATAAATATTTACCAACATATAAACAATGTGTTTGGTGGCTGGATCTAGCCATGTATGGGTTGAATGCAGACAAAATAATTAGTCAATAAAAATTTATTGTTAAAAGAATATGCACTTTTTAAAAATACTGAACACAAACTGAAAATACTATATTGGCCCTTAAACCCCCCCCCCCCCCCCCCCCCCCCCCAAACAACAACAAACCAAGAAATATTTAGGAGAAAGAATCATTAAACTCCCTCCACGCATCTTTTGACATATGTATGTTACAGTCAGAAGACGGACAAGCATCACCTACTCTTGTTTCTCTTTCTTATGTAGCTTACTGACGCACTGTGTGGCCTGCATTGTAGTTTTGCTAATCTCTGCCTGAAAGAACAGGAACATTGATTTGTGACAGTGAGGGATATTTTTGTGAATATTTTTCATACAAGGGTCAACCTGTTTTATTAACAATTATATATTTCTTCAAAATCAATCCTCAGATCCAGTCTGGTCCCAGGAAATGAGATTTCATTGTTATGTCTGGGTTGCTTTTTTTTTGTTTTAATGTACATTAATTTTTCTTGGTTCATTGAAATTTATTGTTAAATGTATAAACTAATATACAGCTGATATATCTTTGATACAACAAATTCTTTCAACTGTTCCATGACTGTTACAGCATATAATTGAATTTAAATTTAAAAAAAAAAATCAAAAGCTATTCACCAGAGGATCTGATTTCAGCTTTCCGAGCCAAATTTATTGTTAAATGTGTAAACTAATATTCAGCTGATATATCTTTGAAACAATAGATTCTTTCAACTGATCCATGACTGTTACAACATATAATTGAATACAAAAACAAACAACAAAAAAATAAAATGCTACTAACCAGAATGTCTGATTTTAGCTTTCCGAGCCAACAGTCTAGCTTGCATGACATGTCAGTCACTGATTGCTGCACTATAGGTCCATACTTGGCTGTTTTACATGCTTTTGAGGTGACTGGAAATTTATTAGTCTAGATTAAAATAATTCCATTAACAACAAAATCCTTGAAAAATAGAGACCATTATAGTATAATTATCATACATAAACCATAACAGTATAATTATCATACCTAAACCATTACAGTATATTTATCATGGCTTTGGCTCTCTTCTTATTAAAAGACAGTTCAACTGGTACAGCAAATCTTCGTACTATGCCTTAAAAAAAACAAAATCAAAACTTTTTTTACACCCATCGAAGCTGTCAACATATCGTTGGCTTCATTCAACTAACCAACAATTCGGTAACAAACACTTCAGTAACTAACAATTCAGTAACAAACGATTCAGTAACAAACAATTCAGTAACAAACAATTCAGTTACAAACAATTCAGTAACAAACAATAGCAACTGACTTGAAGTTTTCCTACGCCTGTTGGCATTCAAATCATCCCCAGAAAACTCATGAATGCTATCGCTGCTGTTGAGGCCGTCGACGTGCTGACTTGGATAAATTGAATTGGTGTTGACGTCATCCGCGGTCTCACCGTCATGTCTCCAGGGTTGTGATCCTGAGGCACATGAGAAATATTTTATCAATTTGATTTTTCTGAAAGTTGTTTGGTTCATTCTTATTTATATTTAAAAATGAAAAGTAAAACTAAATGGCCTCCTAAAAGATTTCATCCGACAACTTCTTCAATAAAAATGTATAAACTCAATCAGCATTAAAAGTCTGGGGGATGAAAGAAAAAAAATATGAGAGTCTCTTTATAATTATTATTTGTAAAAAATTGCAATTTGCCTTTTAAAGGGGATTATGAAACCAAAGTATAAAAAAAATTTACTCTGTCCAATCCAAATATCTATCAAATTTTCAACTCATCAAGAGTAAAGAGTTCCCGCCCAAGTTTAATAATATCTGTGTGCAAAGACTTTCTTTTGTGGAGCCTGATAAAACAACCTTAAAATGAAGGCAGTAAACAAATTTTTCTTTTGAATGTTTTTTTTATAAGGAGTAAGGAAGATAAAATAATGTGGCTCCACATACAATTGAGTCTGAAATCTCTTTTCAATTATATTACTTATATTAATATTTATATTTTTTTGTTCTTAGAGAATTTTTAAGGCAGCCCTCTGTGCCCACATATCCATTATTAATTGCCCGTTTGATGTTTACCTTGCTGTTCGTTAACTGGAGTCTGTCTTGTACTAGATCCATTGGACCTGATAGATGTAATGGGCTGAAAAACTCTCTCGTCATCCAAAGGTTTCTGACTCCTCAGGTCCGGACCTTGCATTCCTACCGCATATTTTAAAAGCTCTGAGTATTCTTCCTATTGCAGCAAGAGCAAAAAATGGAAATTCGATACTATTTCTAAAAATAATCAATTTGAAGATCATGATTCATATTTTCATTAACATATTATACTTTGAAATCACAGTAAGCTTAACAAAGTGTTCCTTAAAACAATACATGAAATTTTATCAACATTACATTGAAAAGCACATATAATACAGAAAAAAAGTACTGCATAATTATGTATGATGTCTTGAGCCCTTATCATTTAAAGCATTTTGCAATGTAATCCCAGTAAGCACAAGATATAAGAGAACTGGATATACATTGTTTTACCTGAAGGCGAGATGACACAGAGCTGCCAGGCGACTCGGGTGGGAGCAAAGGTGGACTGTTTCTACTGTCTGAATTCACAGATGCATCTTGATCTCCCTGACTCATTTCTGTCTTTCTTTAAAGACGAAAATAAATAAATTTATAGTTCTTTAATGGCACTTGTCATTTTAATAATAGTCTTCCACTGCCGTCTTAATATTTAGAACAGTAATTTGAAAGGCTTAGGCCAGTGTTTCCCAACATGTGCATATATAATGGGTGAAATTTTAAGTTTATGAAGGGGAAAAAAGTGTGTGAGTTTTAGGACATGCTCTTCTCACAGGTAATTTATCTGTTAAAATGTTAACCACTATTATTGTTGGTCATTTATTTTAATGCAAATATATTTCATTTATAGTAGGTTTCATTGAACAATGTTGAATCTTGATGCCAAATTCAAAAATGAAATTTAATCTTCTTCTTTTGTAATTGAAAAGAAATTTGATAGTCTAAATAAGTGTTACGCACTGACTTGTGTTGGGAGAAATTAATCTCCTATTTTAATTTTAATTGGCTCGTTGTAATCAGTGCCTAACAAAGGACGATACCACAGAATCAACAATATTAAAGATACGACCCAAAACAGTTTCTAGTTACAATTAATAAGATTTATTATGTCTTAAGATAATTACAAAATAAAATAAAATAAAATTACAATCTTCAACTTACAGTATGGCAGATGTCGTACCGGTACACAGTTAATACAATTAGAAAGAATGATGCCAATAAATAATGCGAAATAAACACATATAAGTAGGAGCACACAAATACACAAAGAATAAAACACGCCTCGTAATTGTTATGAGAATCTATCTCAAAAAATCTCCCTCGTCGTGCCTGTCAATCCCTTATATATATGTAGAGTAAGATGCTTCGAGAAGGGCTTATGACGTGTTGTTTACATATCTCGGGTTAAGGAGTATATTCCAGAAATTACCCGAAAACAATCTACCCAATGCGTAATTGGAAGCCGATTGTAAACAAGCCACTTCAAAGACCTAAGCCACACCCCTTTGTGAACACAGCGTCTCATGCGGGGTCAATCAGAGGGCACGCACGAGAAATATTATGTAAACAAGCTCTCTATAACACTTCCCCTCTTAAAAGAAAAAAAATTTCATTGTTCAAAAATGGAATTCTTTTTCCATTAAAATTGAAGAAAGTACATTTCTTACTCTCAAAATATTAGACAAAAACTTCTTAACAGCTTATAAACAATAACATAAGTGAAAATTAATTTCTGGACAAAGTATCTGCAATGACATTATCTTTGCCTTTAATGTGTTTGATGTCCAAATTATATTCTTGTAAAAATAGGCTCCATCTTAACAATCTTTGATTTTTGGAGACCATCTTATTCAAAAATGTTAAAGGATTGTGATCAGTAAAAACAAGTACTGAATGTAAAGAACAACTGACATAAAAATCAAATTGTTGGAGAGCAAGAATTAAACCTAAACATTCCTTTTCTACAGTGGAATAGTTTTTCTGATGTGAGTTAAATTTCTTTGAGAAATAAGAGACAGGATGATCTACATTGTGGTCATCTTCTTGAAAAAGAACTGCACCAATGCCAACATCACTGGCATCTACAGCTAATTTAAACTGTTTGTTAAAGTCTGGTGCAATGAGAACAGGAGCATTAGCAAGTATATTTTTAATGTTTTCGAATGCTTCCTGACAAGCATCTGACCAATGAAATTTTGCATTTTTCTTTAACATATTACTTAAAGGAGAAGCAATAACTGAGAAATTTTTGCAAAATTTTCTATAATAACCTGCCATTCCCAAAAATCTCATTAACTGTTTTCTAGTAGTGGGTGGTGGAAGTGATACAATAGCATTTATCTTAGCTTGAACAGGCTTTACATGACCTTGACCCACTATGTGACCTAAATATTCCACAGTTGCATGACAAAATTCACATTTATTTAAATTTACAGTTACATTTGCCTGCAAAAATTTTTTAAACAGAGATCTTAATTGGTTTACATGAGATGAAAAATCTTGACTGTAAATAATTACATCATCAATATAGGCGCTGCAATTTTCCTGGTCAGCAATAATGTTATTTACAAGACGTTGGAATGTAGCTGGGGCATTTTTCATTCCAAACGGCATTACTTTATATTGATATAAACCATCTGGAGTACAAAAAGCAGAGATTTCTTTTGCTCTGTCAGATAGAGGAACCTGCCAATAACCTGATAGTAAGTCTATCTTGGTTACATATTTGGCATCACCTATTCGATCTATAAGATCGTCTATCCTTGGAATCGGAAAGGAATCAGTCTTTGTGAATGCATTCACTTTCCTGAAGTCAGTACAAAACCTGTAACTTTTGTCAGGCTTTGGGACTAAAATACATGGTGAACTCCAGTTACTAGAGCTTGGTTCAATTATATCATTTTCAAGCATGTATTTTATTTCAGACCGGATTATTTCAAGTTTTTCCGGATTGACCCTATAGGGGTGTTGCTTGACCGGAACTGCATTGCCAATGTCAACATCATGTACAGCAATGTTGGTTTTATTAGGTACATCAGGGAAGAGTAAAACAAAATCTGCAATAACAGACTTAACAACATCCTTCTCTGACAATGACAAATGTCCTAGTTTCTTATCTAAGTTGGCCAATACTTCTGAATTTTTAAGTTTATAATTACCAACTTTTTCTGGGACACTATCAAAGGTTTCAGTAACATTTTCTTTAAGTACTGAAGTTACAGTTGAGATTGTGTTAACATTTGTTTCTGAGGATGGACAATGATCATCACATTTTCTATCAAAATATTCTTTTAACATGTTAATGTGACATAACTGTTTCTTTCTTCTACGATCTGGTGTTAACACAATGTAATTCAAATCATTGATTTTGGACTCAACAACATAAGGACCAAAATATCTAGCTTGTAGTGCTTGCCCTGGTATCGGCAAAAGCACAAGCACTTTGTCCCCTGAAGCAAACTGTCTGAATTTTGACTTTTTGTCATACCAAACTTTCATTTTAGATTGTGAATCTTTTAAATGTGTTTTAGCCAAATTAACGGCATTAAAAAGTTTAGTTTTAAATTTTTGGACATAGTCAAGAAGTCCTTCCGTGGGTGCCGATGACATCCACGTGTCTTTTAAAAGTTTAAGGGGACCGCGAACCGTGTGGCCAAACACCAGTTCGAAGGGGCTGAATCCAAGTGATTCTTGAACTGCTTCTCTTGCGGCGAACAGTAGCATGTTGATGCCTTCATCCCAGTCTTTCTCTTGTTCTAGGCAGTAGGTTCTCATCATGTTCTTCAACGTCTGATGGAATCGCTCAAGTGCTCCCTGTGACTCAGGATGATATGCACTCGACAAGCAGTGTTCTATGCCCAACTGGTTCATCACTTGTTTGAATATTCCAGCCTTGAAGTTGGTTCCTTGGTCAGACTGTACAGACTTCGGAAGACCAAACAATGTAAAAAACTTCGTCAAGGCTTTGACGATGTTCGGAGTCTTGATATTGCGAAGAGGAATAGCTTCTGGGAATCTTGTTGACGCACACATGATTGTCAGCAAGTATTGGTGACCTGATTTTGTCTTTGGCAGAGGTCCAACGCAGTCTATAATAACGCGACTGAAAGGTTCTTCGAATGCTGGAATGGGTTGAAGAGGAGCTGCTGGTATCTTCTGATTTGGTTTCCCTACAACCTGACAAGTATGACATGATCTGCAGTATTCAACCACATCTTTCTTGATTTTGGGCCAAAAGAAGTGCGACGTGATTTTGTGATATGTCTTCTTTACTCCCAAATGACCTGAAAGTGGTGAGTCATGGGCTAAGTTCAGGACTTCGTTCCGGAATGGGGTAGGAACTACTATTTGATGAACTATCCTCCATTCTTCGTCAGCATTTGCGTCTGGAGGTCGCCATTTTCTCAAAAGTATGTCATCTTGAAGGTAATAACATATAGGGAATTGTTCAGCTTCTTCTTGGGTCAAAGCGTTCTCTCGAAGTTTGACTATTTCTGGATCACTCTTCTGTTCTTCAATAAGTTGCATTCGAGTTGGAGTCTTGTAATTACTAGCCTCTTCATTTAGACTTGCAAAAAATGTTTTTCCCAGGTCAATTTCAGGAAGAATTTTATTGCTTTTTTGTGAAATCTCTTTTGTGGAGATCTTGGAACTCATGGCCCTTGTCACAGCACATGCTGGATACAATTCTTGATCTTCTTCCTGATTTTCATTTAAACAAGGTTCATGAGTAACGATGGGCTCGGCTATCACCTTCCCACCAGCTAAGTCATTGCCTAGCAGCAACGAGATGCCGTCCAATGGTAATGTTGGTCGGACACCCACAACCACAGGTCCGGAGACTAAGTCTGATTTTAGGTTGATGAGATGTAAAGGTACATCTATGCATCCCAGCTCTACACCTCGTAACAGGATGTTGCTCCCAGTAGCAGTAGATTCAGACAAGGGAAGTATACCCTCAAGTAGTAAGGACTGTGAAGCACCTGTATCTCGTAAGATTTTGATTGGTTGTAGACTGGAAAAATCACCTGGCAGTGATACGAATCCTTCCGATATGAAAGGCATGAAGTCTTGTATGACATCAGTATTTTCTGATGTAGAATTTTGGACCTTGGTAGGTAAACTCTTGTTGGAGTCTTGAGAACATTCGGCTAGGGTAGAGGAAGTAAAACTCTGGGTAGAGTCGTCAAAACTTGCACACAAGTCCTCAGTAAGACGCCCTCTGGAGGTAGACCTCTTCTTGGAGCAAAAGGATCTTGGCGACAAGCTCATAAAACTCGCAGTCGAAGCAGGAACTTGGCTGGAGTCAGTAAAACTAGCCTTATTGTTCATAATGGAACTCTTTGATGAGTCGTGACAAACCTCTTTGAAGTTTGTATGGACATCTGGAGAGCAAAAACTCTTGAATTTTGAAAATGTGTTTCCAGATGTATGACGAGACGTACAAGCGGAGACTTTTGTGTTGTGTACCAGGATGTGTGGTCTTCTCAGTTTTCTTCTTGAGTTTCCAGCAATCATCCCTCTTATGTCCTTCTTTTTTACAGTAGGCACATGTGTCTTTTGCACCAATTTCTTTCGTACCGGGCTTGAATGGTTTTTGTGGAGGTTTACTGTAAGTTGATGTTGTTGTCTTATTGTGCCTGTTTTTCCTGGTGTCAAATGGATTCTTGGAAAGTTGATGTGAGATGGTGAAGTCGTCGGCTAACACTGCTGCCGTATGTGCGTCACCTTCGCCACGGTCTGCAATATGTATTCGCACTTCAGTACGAACACAGTTCTTGAACTCCTCCATCAGAATGAGGTTCTTGAATTTCTTGAAGTCTGTCTCAGTGTTGGTTGCGTGCAGCCACTTGTCCAGGAGCCGTTCCTTTTCCCGGAGGAACTCGACATGAGTCTGGCCATCACGTTTCCACAGTTCCCTAAACTTTTTACGGTATGCTTCGGGGACACATTCATAAGCCTTAAGTATTAATGATTTTACTAGGTTATAGTCCCCGCGCTGTTCCGCATTCAGGGACACAAAGACTTCAGATGCCCTTCCGGTCAAGGCTGGTTGAAGTAAGGTGGACCACATACTTTCAGGAATTTTAAAATTTTGGGCAGTTATCTCAAACTGCGCAAAATATTGGTCAACCTCTTTTTCTGTAAATTTAGGGATTACTTTTGCAAACTTAATTGCATCGCAACCCTGACCGGCTGGAGGCGTGAGTCTATTTTCCATTGCTCCTAAATTGGCCATTATTTCCATTTGTTTTAACTTTATTGTTAGCTCTCTATCTTTTTCTTCTTTCTCTCTCTGAGCTTTTAGCTCCAGCTGTTTAAGCTCTCGTTCTTTATCAAGCTCCAGCTGTTTAAGCTCACGTTCTTTATCTAGTTCCATTTGTTTGAGCTTTAGTTGGAGCTCCATACTTGGATCAGTCGGTTGTGTGACTGAGGCCAGTTCATCTTCAGATAACATGTCTTCATCCACAAAGTGAACGATGATCATGTATCGTATGGTCTTTTTTACGGCCGAATGAGCTACATTTAATTCTAGAGCTTTAGCAATGGAAAATAGCTCCTTCCTAGAACATTTGTCTAATGCCTCTACTGATGGGTTTTCAATATCAAAATCCATTTAGACACAGGCAAAATATAACAATTTTTATACAAATTTAAGCTTAGTGCACACACTAATCTAATTGAATTTAAAGAAAAATTGTAACCAGCTCTGTTGTTGGTATCGTAAAATGGTATCGTGTACTGAAAATTAATCTGAGTATATAAAAGTAAACAGTGGGTCAAAATCCACAGAAAAACACTCAATTTATTATTATTGGTGTAATAAAAATTATGGATTAAAATTATCCTCGGAAAAGCCCACAATTTGTTAAAATTGGAGTCTAATATGAGAAATAATAATAATAGTATGAATTTAGTATTATCGCGGACGAGCAGCCCAATTTGTTAGAATTGGGGTCTTGAGAAAAATAATAATATGGAGTCCGCTATATCCGGGACGAGCAACCCAATTTGTTACGCACTGACTTGTGTTGGGAGAAATTAATCTCCTATTTTAATTTTAATTAGCTCGTTGTAATCAGTGCCTAACAAAGGACGATACCACAGAATCAACAATATTAAAGATACGACCCAAAACAGTTTCTAGTTACAATTAATAAGATTTATTATGTCTTAAGATAATTACAAAAGAAAATAAAATAAAATTACAATCTTCAACTTACAGTATGGCAGATGTCGTACCGGTACACAGTTAATACAATTAGAAAGAATGATGCCAATAAATAATACGAAATAAACACATATAAGTAGGAGCACACAACTACACAAAGAATAAAACACGCCTCGTATGTTAAGAGAATCTATATGAAAATCTCCGTCGTCGTGCCTGTCAATCCCTTATATATATGTAGAGTAAGATGCTTCGAGAAGGGCTTATGACGTGTTGTTTACATATCTCGGGTTAAGGAGTATATTCGTCTTTAATGGGCTTTTGTTAGATGGGTTTGCGTAATTGGAAGCCGATTGTAAACAAGCCACTTCAAAGACCTAAGCCACACCCCTTTGTGAACACAGCGTCTCATGCGGGGTCAATCAGAGGGCACACACAAGAAATATTATGTAAACAAGCTCTCTATAACATAAGAAATGAGGACAACTCAAGATAAAGCCCTGAAGTATCAAGAAAAGGAGTTATACTATTTCGCTCATACGCAAAGAAACAAACTTTTGCTGTAGAATAAATATTGGCGTCTGTAAATCCTGGTACTTTTGAGCAAATATTTTAATGTAAATTATGTATGATGAGCATAACCTTTCAGGAGTGATGAAAGGCCCAAAACACTTATTTGTTGTCAGAAGATTCTTAAAATTTCCCAATTTTAATAACTATTTTAATTGAAATACTTTAAAAAATTATAATTCTTGTCTTTTGAGACATATTTCATAGCATAGGGCTTAGGCCTATTAAAAATGAAATGGTTACTTCAAATGTCATATGTAATGTCTTTTATGTGACTGTTTTGATCTTGATAAAATATTATAGTATGTCTTGGAAAGAATATGCCAACCACTCAACTTTAAACGATTAGGCTACTTGAATTAATACCAGACATCACTGAATAAATTTCAGTGTAGTGACATTGCAATTTTTTTAATTGAAATTGTTATAGTATGTGTATTGACCAAATTTTTGCTTCAACGTAAAGCTGTAGAGCCCACCACTTATGTAAAACCTTTTTGTATTGATATTGCTAGATTTCTTTGAAATGAAACTTACGAGACTTAATATACTTATAGGATCTTTACAAGATTTTACTCTTTGCTTGTGTGTATTAATTTTTGTATCTTTTGAGCTTATACCTTTTCATTTTCTGTGAGTTCTTGAATATAGTTTTTATTTTTCTATATTTGTTAAAAATGTTATAGTGTAATTGTAATAAAAATTGAATTTAATATAACTTAGACTATCTTTAGACTTTAGACTTAAGAAGTTTAGCATAGTTTATAAAGTAGGTACTTTAAAACGAGTCGATGCACCGATCTGCGCATGTCCAAAAATGTCGAAAAAACGTGTTCTACAATATGGCATACAGCTACACGGTATCTTTGAAAAATTGCATACAACGTCAGCTTTCTTTATTAAATAATTGCTTTCCTCATCAGTGACGTATCCGTTTGTGTGTTCTGGCGATATATTGATTTATGCGTGAGATTTTTTGTGAATCACGGACCGTATTATTTTGATGACTCGGTGGGTATATAATCACTTAAATATTTTGTTTATTAGTTATTTTAGGGAAATAAGGTGTAGTTCAGTGCAAACTACATTCATTTTGAGAGGTTTTTCATTATTGGAGTTATTATCATTGACTATGTCCCAGAAAAGTTATGCATATCCCAAAGTAGTTGGGGTATGAAAAATTTTTTTCTTTTTTTTTTTCCTTTGATTGAGAAGCCGGAAATGGCTATTATCGCTGTCAATTATGAAATGATTCGTTATGGTTGAAACCTTAAACATCTGAATAATTATAAGAAGTTGAAAATAAATAATTTGAAGAAAATATTATAAACAAGCTTGAAAAGTTTAAGTAGTAAGCAAAACCAAGGGGTGCTTTTAAGTTTTATTTATTACGTTAAAAATTGTGTGTACCGGTATAGTTTAAGCCTAAGCTTAATACTAATAAACTAATTATATTCTATTACAACAAATGCAATTAAAGCCTAAATTTAAATAGTATTTTTTAATTAAATAAGGTATTTAATCATAAAATTTTTAAAATGGTTAAGTACTGGTATTGACATGACATTCATAGAATTATAAAAAAAAATGTCTAATTATATAAGTACTAATAAATAAAAACGAAAATAGTTTTAATTAACACATAATGAATAATGATAAATTGAATAATAATTTATATTTTAAAAATAAATTTTGTATATTCAGAATTTTCAGGATTATGATTGAATATATTACGATGTTTTTCTAGGTTTATTTCAGATACAAGAGAAAATTTTCTATTGCAGAACTCAGTGGAATTCCCTCCATCAACGAACAAGGAGTCACGTTTGAATGTAGATAAAAAAATGATTTTGAGTGAATTTTATATAAAATTACATGATACATGCATTCAATTTTATTAAAAAAAAGAAACTACCTACCTTTTTATGAGTATAAGAATTGATTTAAAATTTCACACAAGCATATAATTAGTTCAAATCAAATAAACAAGTTCATTTTTTTTCTTTGTCAGTTTTGATTTTTCCAATTTTCTGTTCACATTTTTCTTAAAATACCCTCAAATAAAATTTTTCAAAATACAAAGTACTGATGTTATTTAAAAGTTGTGTTGTTCATTTGGGTTGTATATTGCATTAAGAATGTCTCCTGAAAATTTGGTAGCATTATCTTTTAAAATAAAAAAAGTTGTGGGCAAAATAAGTCAGAAATTTGGAAAGTCGGTGACACGTTTTTTTAGTTAAATACAAAGTATAAGGCCAAGGCGTCAGTCTTTTTAACACCCCTTTATTTTAGCGCACCAATATTAAATTTCTATTTACATTTAAAGGAAATTTAGACTTAAACATTCGTTAGGCCCTTTTATTTTTTATAAATAAAAAGGAAGGCAAAGACTTTTTAAGTATTTAAAAAGGAAGGCAAAGACTTTTTAAGTATTTATAACTTGTTGAAACACGTCTTTTGATTTTGAAGAAAGCGACAATGTTACACTAAGCGTAAATGTTCTTCTTAAAACTGAAACAAAATAGACATGACAATACATAATAATGATCTATAGATTTTCAATAGTTTCTTTTTTTTTAAATAAAAGAAAAACAAAACCTTTTTGTCTATGATCAAGCCGAGTGTCAAACAGTCTAGCCATCCATTTGTAAACAAAAATTACAGCCGAAAAAAACAACTTTTGATTGGCTAATACATACTGTGTTGGGCACTTTGATTGGAGAAAATATCCACTTTCTTTGAAACTTCATTTTAAAAGAGTCAAAACTAAACTATGACATTTGATTAATTTATAATAATTTATCTCATGAACAATAAAGAATTTAATAACGCGTATTTTAATAAAATAAATTAATTGTCAAGTCACTCCTCTACACACTAATTATTTTTTCTGCAAAAATTTTCGAAACCCCAGTTTGATAAACAATTTTAAAGACTCGATTTTTTAAAAAAAATGTCCTGCAGCCTGCACAGGCCTACGCCTACTTAAACTTAAGCGGTACATTACACGTTTACAAGCCTGCACTAGCTGTCACTAGGCCTACATCTTAGTGTATTTTAATATAAGTATAAGAGTCTATTATGACAGGCAGTGGTAGTCTACCTCTATCGCAATGACAGTGGAATTTATCTTTTTTTTTCTACGTCAATGTAGAAATGTTTTGTTTTTTTGTACCGATGAACACATTTGCCGAAGCCGAACCGTTCAGGCCTACACTTGTATTTGGTAAAATCATCATTGACGCTGAACATATTCATGTATTGTTTTATTAACGCAAATTGTTTGTTTATAATTAATCCATTTATTTGGGGAAATGATGTTACTAGTTAACCACAAAGAATAACAATGACGAGAGGCCACTAAAAGGCCTACCCAAGGTTGGTTTAAATGGTGTGCATACAAATAAAGATCCTTTTGAGGCAGCAATGATCTTATGTTGTTTTTGTGTGTGTGTGTGAGGTTAATATAGCAAATGAGCCCTTCTTTGGTTTCACATAAGTAGCATAAGACTATGGTTTTTCTTGAGGTATCAAAGATTCTAAATAAATTTGTTGTAAGGTAGCAACTAGCAATGATCCTATGTTTGTTGTGAGGTAGCAATGATCCCATGTTTGTCATGAGATAGCAATGATCCAATGTTTGTCGTGAGGTAGCAATGATCCTATATTTGTCATGAGGTAGCAATGATCCTATATTTGTTGTGAGGTAGCAATGATCCTATATTTGTTTTGCGGTAGCAATGATCCTATGTTTGTTTTGAGGTTGCAATGATCCTATATTTGTTGTGAGGTAGCTATGATCCTATATTTGTTTTGCGGTAGCAATAATCCTATGTTTGTTGTGAGGTAGCAATGATCCTATATTTGTTTTGAGGTAGCAATGATCCTATGTTTGTTGTGAGGTAGCAATGATCCTATATTTGTTTTGCGGTAGCAATGATCCTATGTTTGTCGTGCGGTAGCAATGATCCTATGTTTGTCGTGCGGTAGCAATGATCCTATGTTTGTCGTGAGGTAGCAATGATCCTATGTTTGTCGTGCGGTAGCAATGATCCTATGTTTGTCGTGAGGTAGCAATGATCCTATGTTTGTCGTGCGGTAGCAATGATCCTATGTTTGTCGTGCGGTAGCAATGATCCTATGTTTGTCGTGAGGTAGCAATGATCCTATGTTTGTCGTGCGGTAGCAATGATCCTATGTTTGTCGTGCGGTAGCAATGATCCTATGTTTGTCGTGCGGTAGCAATGATCCTATGTTTGTCGTGCGGTAGCAATGATCCTATGTTTGTCGTGCGGTAGCAATGATCCTATGTTTGTCGTGCGGTAGCAATGATCCTATGTTTGTCGTGCGGTAGNTTTTTTTTTTTTTTTTTTTTTTTTTTTGTTTGTTTGTTTGTTTGTTGTTTTTTTTTTGGGAGGGGATAAGTACATTTTAGTGAATGATAAGTTTATTACAAGTGCCAGAACCAATGGATTTATTTCAGGATAAACTGTTGTTATTTTTTTAATCACAGGATCAACTGTTTTTATCAGATCTAGAACTTTATTTTTCCAATTTAATGCCGACATCCAAAACATGGAAAGACAAAGATTTAATTTGATTTAATTTCACTTTGTATCTGCCAAGCATAAAATCTTCTTCTTCTTCTTTATTTTGAGGGCCCACGATCATTGAATTGATCGTTCTGGCTCCTATGTTTCAGAGGGGTTTGCGATGTTACTGTCCATGGGTTTCAATGGGATGCGTCACTGGTTGCAGGGGTGATTCAGCAGTGGTGTTATGAACAGGGGGTTGGAATACAGGAGGCAATAGAAACAAATGTGTCGAGTGTAGTCGCCTCAACTGTTGCTTTTGGAAGCTTGTTCCAGTCCCCTATTATCTTATCTTTAGCTTCATTGTGCTTGATGGAGGTATAATATAATCATTTTAAAAAAAATAGTAATTAGAATAATCCTAAAAATAAATGTCTTCTGTTTGTGATAAATGTTGGTCTTCTTGATACAATAAAAAAAAAAAGAAAAAAGAGAACAGAGTCATCCTGTCTCATATCTAAAAATTAACACATCCAGGGCCTGTTTGCTATCTTTAAATCGGAAATCCAACACCTGCTTGCAATCCACAAATCACCAATCCAGCCCCTGTGGGGGGGGGGCGGGCTTGCATGCCATGCAGCCCCCCACCCCAAGTTTAGATATTAAGTAGTTATTGGTGTGGCAATATTTCGCAGCAAAACTTCACCGGACCATGAAATAACAATGTTGGTTTCTTAATCTGCTTCAGTGACTTAACGCTGGACAGCAGCTTGCTTGCATATTTAAAATACAGCAAGGTGTTTTTCGTCCAAGGCTTTCCTTTTCGAACAATTCGCGCATTATAAGTGAAACAATTAACCAACGAGTTCATTATGTGTGTTTTATGTGTGCTTTGTATGTGCCTTAAGCGTGTTTTACGTGAGTTTTAACATATGGTGATTTTGTCTGCTTTATGTGTGGCTATATTTATGTATGTGTCTTTGTATATTTACCCCCTTTCTTGTCAACGTGTTCTTTCTGTTTTATTTCTTATTCTTTATATTTTTTAATCCGCAAAAAATTTTGTGTGTTACCTCCAGGCTTATTGTGTTTCTTTCTTCTTCCCCCCCCCTCTCCCTAACACAGTAGTCATTCTTAACACACGTGTTCCCGCTTTTAATTTTTTTAACACAGCAGCGCTCTGTTCGTACAACACTATTGCGGAGAAGTACAACCTAAGCCAAAAACCATTGATTCTCATATTGCCCAGATGAATTACATGCTGTGATGCTAATCTTAAATCTATCATATTACCCTCGTAACGGTCACGGCTGAGGGGATTTGGTTTGGGTGGGGTGGGGGAGTATCTAGCCAATGTCAGGTGATTTACAGAGATGATTTACTCTCGATGCTTTCATTCGATCACGACTCAGTTGAAGGAGGTGACGCTGAACATACATCAAAGAATTGGATACCAACCTTCGTGAAGTTCGATTCAACAGTTCATCATTTATGTGGATGATACTTTCACTTGTGTTTTGGACATAATTGCAAGGGTACGTACCAGTGTCTCCCCACGTTTTAAAAGATTTCCCAGCACATTATGGCGCAGTGGTTCCCAACCTGTGGGTCGTGACCCCTTTGGGGGTCGTCTAAGGCCATCGGAAAACACATATCCTCTACAGTTATGAAGTACCAACGAAAATAATTTTGTGGTTGGGGGTCACCACAACATGAGGAACTGTATTAAAGGGTCGCGGCATTAGAAAGGTTTGAGAACCACTGTTATAGCGTAATAATACTAGTTTAAAAGGATTTAACTATTCATGATGTAATGGATAGAATTTAAATGATTACCGCACAGTTAAATGTTTTGGGTGTAAAGATACACTTGTTTAGAACCCTTACAAAGGAACCAAATGATGTAGCCAGTGGCGTATGCAAGGTGTGGCTAAATTGGGCAGGTGCCGGGCGGCGCCGTGTCCTGGATCTTTACCTGACTGGTCTCTTTCCTCCAAGTCCTTGACACTCTTGTACACCGTGATAACAAAGCACTAAACACAAACCCTCTGTCCAATTGCAAGGCAAACGTTAATCTAGAAGCACGTGCAGGCTCTTAAAAATGAGCCAAACACATGCACAACGCAGCTCGCTGTAAATAGAAGAATGGTGTAGGTGCTACTTTATGGAAAGGGGGGGGGAGTAACAGTAGAAGTCGTATCACTTTTGCCGTAGCTGCTCGAGCTTTGATCTCCACAAATGGTGCACAGCTCTCACCCGCGGTGGCAAGAAGCTGTGGCATGTGTAACGGCAACACCACGGACCACGACGTCAACCAGCCGGCCAAAACCAGGTCGAGGGATCAAGCCGAAGTACTGCCAGCATTTGGTGATCAAGGGTTTGCCCCCCCCCCCCAAGCCGCTGGTGAAGACGGTATCCGGGTTGGGGGGGGGGGGATTGCACGGAGGAATCATTAGTTGGTCAACGGGGAGAGAAGCGGAGATGGCAACGTGATGGGAAATCGCTCAGAGCAGGAGAAGACACGTAGATCGCCAGGGTCATTGCTCGAACCCAATCCCCCCCCTCCCCCCCCCTCCGCCGTCTCGACCTTGTCTTGCCATTTACTAAACTAACCCACAAGGCACGCGGCGGACAATAAAACACGATACTCGTTGCCCAACAATTACTAATGAATACCCGTACTCCACATGCCCCACTAAAGGGGCAGGGGTGCGCTACAAATTAACGAGCCGGGACAAAATATGAGGATACTTAAAAAAATAAATAAAAAAAAATTAAATTTGCTTATAAGTTATATCTATATTGAATGAGTGGAAAAACAGAGCTCAGTAATTCTTCGACATTCCACAGCCTCTCGTGGGTCAATACAGAACTTTTTTTTAAAAAGTGTAAAGCAAGAAATAACAGAAAAAAACAAACAAACTGGCTTCTATGATCATTTATGTCAGTTCTCATATAATCATTTACATCAGTTCTTATATGATCATTTATATCAGTTGTCATACGATCATTTATATCAGTTCTCATACGATCATTTATATAAGTTGTCATACGATCATTTATATAAGTTGTCATACGATCATTTATATCAGTTCTCATACGATCATTTATATCAGTTGTCATACGATCATTTATATAAGTTGTCATACGATCATTTATATAAGTTGTCATACGATCATTTATATCAGTTGTCATACGATCATTTATATCAGTTCTCACATTATCATTTATATCAGTTCTCATTTAATCATTTATATCAGTTCTCATTTAATCATTTATATCAGTTCTCATTTAATCATTTATATCAGTTCTCATTTAATCATTTATATCAGTTCTCACATTATCATTTATATCAGTTCTCACATTATCATTTATATCAGTTCTCACATTATCATTTATATCAGTTCTCACATTATCATTTATATCAGTTCTCACATTATCATTTATATCAAATCTCATTTAATCATTTATATCAGTTCTCATATAATCATTTATATCAGTTCTCATTTAATCATTTATATCAGTTCTCACATTATCATTTATATCAGTTCTCACATTATCATTTATATCAGTTCTCACATTATCATTTATATCAGTTCTCATTTAATCATTTATATCAGTTCTCATTTAATCACTTATATCAGTTCTCACATTATCATTTATATCAGTTCTCATTTAATCATTTATATCAGTTCTCATTTAATCATTTATATCAGTTCTCATTTAATCATTTATATCAGTTCTCATTTAATCACTTATATCAGTTCTCATTTAATCACTTATATCAGTTCTCACATTATCATTTATATCAGTTCTCATTTAATCATTTATATCAGTTCTCATTTAATCATTTATATCAGTTCTCACATTATCATTTATATCAGTTCTCACATTATCATTTATATCAGTTCTCATTTAATCATTTATATCAGTTCTCATTTAATCATTTATATCAGTTCTCACATTATCATTTATATCAGTTCTCATTTAATCATTTATATCAGTTCTCATTTAATCATTTATATCAGTTCTCACATTATCATTTATATCAGTTCTCATTTAATCATTTATATCAGTTCTCACATTATCATTTATATCAGTTCTCATTTAATCATTTATATCAGTTCTCATTTAATCATTTATATCAGTTCTCACATTATCATTTATATCAGTTCTCATTTAATCATTTATATCAGTTCTCATTTAATCATTTATATCAGTTCTCATTTAATCATTTATATCAGTTCTCATCAGCGAAGACAAGATGGTTGAATCGTAATGCCTAGTTGACGTTGTATGAAGATGGCTTACTCTTATACTTGTGGTTTTTTTAAAATAATATGTTTGAAGTAATGTTAAATAAAAATTTAATCTCTGTGAACATCTTTTTGTAGCTATGTTAGAATTTTTGCTCTATGGGGTATGACACCTTAGGAAAAACACAGATTTATTTTGTGGACAGAAAAGAGCAAATTGATTGGTTCATATCATATCCGCTTTCATATCATTTGCGATTGTCATGGTTTGGCTAAGTAAACGTGGATTTGTGTGAATTGAAATGAAAGAAATATTTCAGTTTAAAATAATAATTAAAAAAAAATATATATATACATTTTTGGTTCGGTTTTAATAAGTCCTACTAAACCTACTGGAATCAATTTAAAAAAAAAAATAAACATAAAGGACAGGCTACTCTTTTGTACAAAAAATTGGACGTATCTTTAAAATATAAAGTAGAAACCCATAAAAACATTTTTTTTCGTATAAATCCTTTATAAAATGTAATATTTAGCAATAGGGGTTGGGGGGGGGGTGAAAATTACACAAAACATGCATACAAGTAACGTACCTTATAAGAATCCCAATAAGTCGCCAAACCCCCCAAACCCCCCCCCCCCCCACCTTCCGCTCAAGGCTCACAACCTCATATTTTCACACCCCTGAACTATATTGCTATTCTAATGACCCACCGCAGATTTAGTTCACCAATTATTTCAGAAAAACCAAAGAAAATATTACGCACCAAACGCATCAGCGACATTTAAAAAAAAAGAAAAAAAGAATCTCATTTAGCGCAGTTCTCGGGAACTGTCCTTCATGTTCCCTTAGAAAAACAGATTCTTTTTTTTTTTTTTTGGGGGGGGGGGTTCGTGTTGGGATGTAAAATTTGAAGAACGTGTTGTCATTGGCAACGAGTCCATGTGCCAAGTTTCAGCTCGATAGGTTGACAGAAAGTGGGTCAATGAACCAAGACTTTTTCTAGCCAGTCCACCATCCGGCCAGTCCGCCATCCAGCCAGTCCGTCAGCCAGTCCGCCATCCAGCCAGTCCGCCATCCGGCCAGTCCACCATCCAGCCAGTCCGCCAGCCGGCCAGCCCGCCAGCCAGCCAGTCAGCCAGCCAGCCCGCCAGCCAGCCAGT